GAGCCCAGGCCTTCAGAGAACTGGCAACATCTACTTCCTCACGCTTGAAGTGCAGATATCACACTGTGGAGTTCAGGGCAGTGTGGCCTTCAGGGACACTTCACGCCCACTGAGCTCCCACAAGACTGCAACAGCAGGAGCCACTCAGCTGACACTACAGGGACCAGAAGAATTGCTAACTGCTCAGTTGAACCCAACCAACCCCAGAATCCTAAGAAATAATAAACTTGTAGTGGTTTGTTACCCAGGCATAGATAATGGAAACATCTCTAAAATGAGGAGTAGAACACTATAAAGCCCTAGCCGGTGTGGTTCAGTTGGTTGGAGAGTCATCCCACACACCAGGTTCAAATCCAGATCAGGGCACAGGCCAAGGTTGTGGGTTTGATCCCGGTCGGGGTGGGTGTGGGAGGCATCTGATCGATGTTTCTCTTTTTCTCTTTCCCTTCCTCACTCTAAAATCAATTTTAAAAATATTTAAGAGTGTTTGTGAGGAATAAAGTAAAATAATGTGTGTGAGTGGTTATAATGGTGCTTGACAGTGAACAGCGGTTACTACCTGAGAAGCTAAGGTTACCACAAGTGCAGGACATGACCGCAGACCTCCCGGGAGGCACGTTCAGGTTGTGAGGGCTCAGGACCCTGGGCAACAACAGAGGTGAAAAGGAAGGTTTCATTCAGACTGTGAGGACCCTAGATTAAGTGGACCCCTGAAGGGAAAAAGGGACAGGGGATGCCAGGCTCATGTGGCTCAGTTGGTTGAGCATTGTCCCATGCACCAAGAATTCACTGGTTTGATTCCTGGTCAGGGCACATGCCCGGGTTGCAGGCTCGATCCCCAGCAGGGGGTGTGCAAGAGGCAGCCGATCAATATTTCTCTCTCATCAATGTTTCTCTCTCTAAATAAAAATCAATAAAAACATATTAAAAAAACAAAAAACAAAACAGAGTTCTGGCCCTGACCGGTTTAGCTCAGCGGTTAGAGTATCAGCCTGTGGTTCCCGCTAAGGGCACGTACCTCGGTTGCAGTTTGTCCCCGGCCCTGGTTGGTCATGCGGGTGGCAGCCACTTGATGTGTCCCTTTCACGTCGATGTCTCTCTCTCTCTTCCACTCTATCTGAACAGGAAATGGAAGAATGTCCTTGGGTGAGGATAAAAAAAACATTCTGGCTGATTTGGTTCAGTTGTTACAGCGTCGGCCCACGGACTGAAGGGTCGAGGGTTCGGTTCCAGTCAAGGGCACTTACCTGGGGGTTGCAGTTTCAATCTCCAGCCCCGAGTCGGGGTTGTGCAGGAGGCAACAGATTGATGTGTTTCTCCCACATTGATGTCTCTCTCTCTCTCTCTCTCTCTCTCTCTCCCCCTCCCTCCCTCCCTCCTTCCCTTCCACACTGTCTAAAAATCAACGGAAAAATATCCCCAAGTGAGGATTAACAACACCGGAAAAAAAAAAAAAAAAGAAAGAAAAGAAAAGCGGACAGGAGACATTTCGGTTTGAGGGGAGCACAGGACCTATGTGATACTGAGGCAGCCTGACAGCTGAGATCTGGTGATTCTACCTGCTGGCTAAAGGTATGTAAGCAGATCCAAGCAACAGGCGCTTGTTCCTCCTTTGTTACCCTGTGCATATAACATACGCACTAAAAAGAACAGTGCATCTGATCATTTCCATGGGGGAAGGAAAGAAAACATCACTGGAGGATAATGGGAACATGCAATGGATTTTGATATCAGAAGAACCTATTGCTAAAGGAAACAACCAGAGGCAGTCCCCTGCCACTGACCTGGGCCCCTTGGCTAAGGCGACAAATGACTCCATTTTTATCATCAATGGACCTTCCTCGATATTTTTCCAATAACAGGCTTATTACCCCTAGAAGTAAAGGAATTTTACCTAAGATTATAGTTGCCCCATATGTTGGGAGGCATTTGCAGTTTTGTATCCTATTTGCAGGCACTTGTGTATAATGCTAATTTTGACTTCTGTAATCCCTGTCACACCCACTATTGTACCATTCCCCTGAGGGGGGGGGGCAAATGAGGGTTGGGGCTTCTGTCTTTAAAATCTACGCTGCTGAGGATCTGGGGAAGCTGTATCCCCCCCCCCCCCAGCCAGCTGGTGTAATGAAGTGCTCCTTTACAGATGGGCTGTGCGTCTCTGGTTATCTCGCTGACAGGTTACAACACCACCTTCTACAACAGCCCCCAGGAAAACCAGTCACCAACTCATATCCATCCCCCAATGTGCCCACATGAAAGGGTCCGAGAGCCTACACATCGCAGGCCTGTCTTTTCTAGACCTCACAGCATTCAGTACAAACTTAGGAGCAAAGGCTGACCCTCAAGAAATGCAGGGTTGAATCTTATTAAGAATGATACGGCTTTGGAAGACCAAAGCACGATCAGATTCTGGGGTGGGTTATAATAAAACCTCAATAATCAAGACTTTTCTGAGGATGACATTTTTCTAAGTATCTGACCTCACAAACCCTCAAAAGAACAAACCGCAGTACTATCTGGTACCAAAATTGAACACTCCGTTTTTTCCACACCAACCCTAATTCACACAGAAATTTATTTAGTATTTTTTTTTAATCTTCACCCCAGGATATTTTTCTTTTATCTTCAGATAGAGTGGGAGGGAGAGAGAGGGAGAGAAACGGAGAAAGAAACATTGATGTGTCCCTCTCACATGGACTAGTTGCCTCCCTCACGACCTGGACCTGGACCAGGGCCGGAGATGAACTGCAACAGAAGTACATGCCCTTGGCCTGAATCGAACCCACAACTCATTGGTCCAAGGGCAGACTCTGAGTCAAACAGGCCAGGGCTATTTACTATTTTAAACCTTCACACATGTCTTTCCATATTTCCAATCTCAAATGAAGGAAAATGGCTTTAAGCTAATCTAGCTATAAGTGCATTAAATGGTTCTACAATAAAGTTTCTTCCAACTAGAACTTGGTAAGAATGCCCCCTTATTAAGTTCCTTCAAATAAATTAAAATCTCACAGATAAATTGTAGGCCCAACCATACAGCCCCTCCCTGCCTCTAAATGCTGAAATAACCTATTATTTAAACTCCCAACCAAATATAAATGTGAACTTCAACAACTTCCCTTTTCCAATGCTTGATTCTACTAGGTCCCCCTCCCCCACAGCTGGCTCTGATAGGTGAGTGGGTGGTGAGGGAAATCAAAGTTTTGCCTCCTCAAAATGTGCCCTTTGGGATACTAATTTAAACAGGTTATTAAGAAACAAAAACCCCAGAAAGAAGCTTTGACTCTCCCCCTTCCTGCCTAAAAGAATTCAGATGGAAAAACCTGCTTCAAGAAGGGAATCAGTATAATCACCTTGGCCACATATAAATTAGCACATGTGATAGACTGGAAGAAATCTAGCAAAGCTTGTCTCCCTCTGTGTCCCATTGTTTCTGGGTGGCCCAGCAAGAATTTACCATCTGTTTGTTCTTTCTGTGAACTACCTACTTCCCCTTTGGAATCCCTGACCCCTACTGCCCACCCCCTTCTCCTTTGTCCAGAATGGCATATAAGCCTTAACTGCCCAATGCCCCATTTGGGGTTTCATACCTTATGACACCTTGGCATGTAGATCCGCAATAAACTGTACATTCTCCTGTTAATCTGTTAATTTTATTATTAGCCCAGCTAGAAGAATTTAGAAGGTGGGAGTATATTTTTATGCCCCCAACAGTGGTTCTGGGTTCTTCCCTAGCAGATTCAGCAGGGTTTCTCAAGCAAAACGGATGAAAACAGAAGTACATATTTATTTATAGTATTTATGTCACTATCCTGAGATGTTTGTTAAATTCTGCCTTAAAAATATGCATGATGAAAAAAAACGCTAACTGGGAAAGATTTAAGCCACCTCCTCCTTCTATGAATGATGCAAATGAAGGTTCAATCACAAATACCCCTCCCCCCGACATGAAAAGCATGTTTTAAGTGACTAAACATTTCCCCTGATTTGTTTCCCTTTCTTGGTACACCTTATATAAAATAATCAGATCTTCACTATGTGATAATTCTCTGAATCGTATACTTAAGATCTGTGAGCTTTTGTGGTACGAATGTTATACTGCAGTAAAAAAAAAATGTTTTAAAAATAGCTCACATTAACTTTTTTTTTAAAAAAGGCGTTTCCAAGATAAACAGCATGAAATCAGTAAATTAGTTTCCACGTTGTTTACACCCCCACACTACCTGCAACAACTTTACAGAACGTTAGAAGACTCGGGACCGGCTTATCTAAAACTGCCAAATTCCTCAAAATTTCCCCCTGCTGTGCTCACTGCTGGGCAGCCAGTCCGGGGACCAGCCCCCCATAGGTCCTCGCAGCTGCAGCTTCGCTGGCCCGGAGACTTGTTCGTCGCGCTGCCACGTGAAGGGGCCGCGGCTCCGCCAGACCCCTGGGCAGCACTCGCGGGCGGCAAGGGAACCCGGCCAGGGGCTCGCGGCGCTCCACCCGCCCCTGCCAGTGGGGGACCCACGGCTTCTGCCCCGGGGACGCCGCAAAGCCCGCAGCCGTACCACCTTCGCATTCCTCTGCAGCCACCTCTCGCTTGTTTCCCTAGACGCAGAGAGGGCGGGCGCGCAGGCCCGGGCGAACCCCCGCAGCCCGCTCCATCCCTCCCAGCGCCCCCGACCCCCGCCACTCACGACGAGGCCCCCACCCCGGACATCAAACGTGGGCCTCGGCACTCCAGGTCAAACACACTTGCCACCCACCCTAAGCCACCCCCAAGCTCACTCACTCACTCAGGCCAGCGGAGAGGAGACCCTGCCACCCGCACCGCGAGGGGCGCGGCCCTCCATCCAGTGCCCCGCCAAACCCAGGCAAGAGGAAGGGCGTTGATTCTACCTCCGCGCCGCGCCTCCATCCCCTGCCCTCCAGGGCCACTGACCTGTGCGGCCCACAGCGGGTCCGCACTGCCCCCCGGGGACCTGAAGCCCAGGCACCCACTGAACCCGGGGACCTACCTGAAAACCGATGGTTGGGCGGCGAGGTCCGCACCGCGCTTGGATCGGCCATCTTCCCAAGGAGCGGGGAGCCCCGCGTAGTCCCCTGCGTCCCGGCTCCCGCCTCGCAGCCGCCTCCTTGCTCCATCAGGACGCGCTAGCCGCACAGGCCCACTGCCCCGGCCGCTGCGTCGCACAGCACCGTACCCGCGCCCGCACGCGTCCGCGTCCTCACGCAGCATGCGCAGCCGGTTCTCACGCTGCGCACGCGCACCGCGTGCACATGCTTCGGGCGCACCGATCCTCAGCAGACACGTACCTCGTGCACTGGCAATGTGGGCCCTAGTTCTCCAAGCGCGCGCACATACTGCGTGCCCGTGCGATGTGCACACCGGTCTTCACACAGAGCACCTGCACACACGTCGTGCACACACCGGTGTAAACACACCTCTCCATACAGCGCACACCCTTCAAGTGTTATACACATAGGATGCAGTTTCTCACTCAGCGTGTGAACAAAGCTCACACACACCATGTGCACCCACATGCTCCCCCAGCACGTACATGTTCTCACACACCGTGCACACACGTCTTCACATGACTTACATACGTTCACACACAGTAGGCGTCCACACACATACTCAGCGCTGCCGCTCTGGAAATAGTTTCTAGCTAGTGCCTCAGGCAGGCGCCCCTTGGGCCAGTGCCAATGTGTAGACGCAGTAGACCCTCCCAACAAGCACAGTTAGGTTCCCGTGGCCGGCGCTAGGTCCTCCCTCACGGAGCCAGGTGCGTGGCCACCCAGAGAGGGACTCCAGCAAGCCAGCCTGGACGACCTTCAAGGAAGGGCAGAGGCGCGCAGTCCGATGGACTTCAGCCTTCCACCCCACTCCCGCTGATTGCATCCAAGAGCTACTCAATGAATGATTCCTTTTTCCTGGGGTGCAAATAACACCCACCTGAGAAATGTCTGTGAGGAGGACCTCTCTGGGAAAACTGTTAAACGTGTAGTCCCGGAGTAGGTTCAGAGTTTGTGTGTGTGTGTGTGGGGGGGGGGGGGCTGTCTTTCCCCTAGACATCCTTGTACCCCTGCCATGAGCATTTATCTTTTCAAAATCATGCATATTGAGAAAGACATCTTTGTAGAGCCTGCTCAACCTGCAGGTATTTGCCTAGGTATAGCCTGCCAAGTGATAATCCATCCCAGTGGACCCCCAGGCTGCACCTTTCTCTGTTGAAGGGCGACCAGCCCTGTGAGGTTCTAAATCCCACCCTTAGGGGAGAGAGGAATACATGATTAAAGAGCCGGATTAAGTTAAATAAAGGTACAAGGTTTCTTTGGGGGAGGGGGATGAATGATGAAAATGTTCTAGAATTAGGTTATGGTGATGGTTGACTCTATAAGTATACTAAAAAGCATTGAATTGTACATTCTAAACTGGTGAACTTTATGGTATGTAAATTAAACAATTAAAGTAAAAACACCAAGCTGATGCCCAGCGAGTGTGGCTCAGTGGTTGAGCGTCGACCCATGCACCAAGAGGTCGCCAGTTCGATTTCCAGTCAGGGCACATGCTCAGGTTGTGGGCCCCATCCCTCGTGGGGGGCATGCAGGAGGCGGCCAATCGATGTTCTCTCATTGATGTTTCTATCTCTCGCTTCCTCTCCCCTCCTCTCTCTCTAAAAATCAATAAAGAAAAAAAGAAAAAAAAAATACAACAAACTGACCCCCAGGAAATGAAAAGCTTGGAGAGTCCCTTTATGGCACAAAAATATAAACGTGTTCGTGACACTCCCAAAGATGTGCCCAGAGTAGGGCGTGACTAGAGAGAGAGCCAGAAGGGGAGTTTAGATACAACTGAGCAAGTAATCAGGCATGTGGTGGCTGGTCCCTTGGCTGTCAAGAAAGCTGTTTCTAAGTTAATTAGGTCATGGGAGCTGTTTTCCACACACCCCTCCCCCCTTTTTTACAGCTCTTGGATACCAGTTTATAATTCATCCAATTCTTAAGCTCATTCATGACTTGCTGACGTGTCAGACTAGCATCCCTTTCTAGTATTATTCTTTTTATTTTCTATTCCACGCTATCCTCTTTCTAGTAATAGACCTCCCCTGTTAAATATAGTTTTCTAGCTGTATTTTTAAAATATATATTGTGAAGATATGCATGGTTTTAGTTTATATAAATGATATTGCTCAATAGTTATGATTCGGTTTGTTTTTCCTTGCTTGGAATTGTTTTCAACATCTATCCCTTGCAGCTGTAGACAAATGTATCAGAAATAGATCAGCCATTCATTCTGGTTTACTCTTCTGAAAATTGCCTATCCGATCCTTGTCCATCTTTCTATTGGACTACGTTTTTTTTTTTTTTCTGTTGATTCCCAGGAGTTTCCAGTATTCTAGATAATCCCTTGTGGATTTAAAAATGTTGCAAATATTTCACACTAGTCAACTAACCCGTTCAAAGATTAGCAATCCTCCTTAATTTTTATGCCCAAACGAACCCATTTAAAAGCTTCTTATACAGAAACTAAGAGTTTCTGTATAAGAAACTAAGAGTTTCGAGAATAAGAGTTTACAAAGAATGTTCACCTATCTTTTACTTGGATCCACCTATCATTGCCATTTTACCCCATTTAGTTTATCATTTGTACTTCTATCTTTAATATTTCATCAACTGTTCTTAAAGTTGCATACATACACTTGGCCCTTTACCCTTAAATATTTCAATGTGCATTTCCTAAGAATAAGGATATTCGCTTGCACAACCACATTAGTTATGAACTTCAGTAAATATAACATGGAAACAATTTCATCTAATTGGCTGTTTCTCCACTGTAGAGGTACTCTTCTAATTTATAAGCAATCTGTGGGGAGGCACTACTTTAAAGCCATGCAAATAACCTATTCCTTGTCAAAACTTCCCCCTAGATTTAGCATCTATTGATAGTTCTTGATCTAATCTTTCTCATGGTTACATAATAAAATCTTATAAAATTTTCCTCTATGGTTCATGCTTTAAGAGGTCTTTTCAAAATGCAGATATAAAAGGTCAAATTGTGGGAAGTTTAATGGAGCCCTTAAACCTCGATGGAGCTGAGAGTCAGTGGAGAAAAGGGGTAAATTCAAAGTGTAGCATCAGGTAGTCAGTAGAAGGAAGGAAATAAAAAGATTAAAGAGCTCTTGTTTAGCAAGGCTGGTGTGGCTCAGTGGTTGAGCTTCGACCCATGCACCAAGAGGTCACTGGTTCGATTCCTGGTCAGGACACATGCCCAGGTTGTGGGTGAATCCCCAGTGAGGGGCGTGCAGGAGGCAGACAATCAATGTTCTCTCTCATCGATGTTTCTGTCCCTCTTTCCCTTCCTCTCTCTCTAAAATCAATAAAGAAAAAAAAAAGTTTCAAAAAAATCTTGTTTAGTATATGCTTCCCCAATCCCAAAAGTCTGCATTTTCCTCCATTATAGATTTATCTCAACTCTAAAGCAATTGTATTTCCTGCAAATGGTATGATAAATCCATATTTACTTTTCTCTGTGGTTTTCCCAGCACCATCTATTCATCTATCCTTTCCCCAATCATTCTAAAACAAAGCACTTTTATCATATACCACATCTGCGTAGATACATGAGCTTAATTCTGAATTCTCTACTCTAATCTTTTTGTCTATTATGGCATCTATCATTATTATTTTTTATTCTCACTCGAGGACATTTGTCCAATTTTTATTCAGATAGAGTGGGAGGGAGAGAGAGGAAGAGAGAAACATCGATGTGAAAGGGACATATCGAGTGGTTACCTTCTGCACGACCCAACCAGGGCTGAGGACAAACTGCAACCGAGGTACATGCCCTCAGCGGGAACTGAACCCGGGTCTCTTTGGACCACAGGCCGATGCTCTAACCGCTGAGCCAAACTGGCCAGGACTATGGCATCTATTATTTATTACTATGGCTTATGGTGTGACTTAATACCTGATGTAGAGTTCCTTTAGACTTCTCCTAGAAATCTGTAATTTCCGTATGAAATTTCTTCAGAATCAGTCTATCCCTCCAATCCTGCTGGAATACTTTATGACAGTAATTCTCAAATTTTTTGTCTCAGAGCCCCTTCATAGCAGGGGTTGGAAGTACAGCTTGTGGGCCAAATGAAGCCGGCCACCTATTTCTGTAATAGTTTTACTGGAATCTGACCACATTAGTGTTTACATGTTGTCTACAGCTGCTTTTGCATAACAATGGCAGAATGGAGTTGTAACAGACCATATGGCCTACAAAACCTGAAATATTTACTGGTCCTTTAGAGAAAGTTCACCAACCCCTATTTTACACATAAAAGTGAAACTCCCAAGTAACTTTTATAAAAGTTAATGTTGGTGGGTGTTGTTTTCCAAAACTTTTTAAAAAATGTTTTTATTGACTTTAGAGAGAGGAAAGAGAAGTATCTATTGGCTGCCTCCCTAACTGGGAATCAAGCCTGTAACCTGGGCATGTGCCCCGACCTGGAATCAAACTTGTGACCATTAGGTGCCTGGAACAATACTCAACCAAGTGAGCCACACTGGCCAGAGCAAAACTTTTTACTTGAACGCACAGGTGTAGTATTGGCAACACCGTCAGTTGTCCTTGGAATGACAAGTTCACTCGTGGACTCTATGAATATGGACATGTCAGGAAAATTAAAAAAATATTTAGTATTTATTTCAAAAATAAATCCAATGCTTTAGCATACTTTTAGTGAAAAGTAACTAAAGAACAAAGTGATTGAGAAGAGTGGCAGTTTCACATTTTTGCAAATCTCTACTATCTTAACAGAAGACAGTCTTATACCTGCTTTTCTATTCAATGTGTTTTCAGTATATTATTTTGGTCAAAGCATATGAAGAAAATCTGGCCTCAGAGGTATGAAGTTGGAAAAGGGAAAAATTAATAGCCTTTTCAGATAACTGTGTGTTTTTCTTTGACACCACACCCAATCTTGACAACTGATTTTTTTTCATCCTCACCCGAGGACATTTTTTCATTTTTTGTTCAGATAGAGTTGGGGAAAGAGAAACATTGACGTGAAAGGGACACATCCAGTACCTGCCACCCGCACGACCAACCAGGGCCTGGGACAAACTGCAACCCAGGTACGCGCCCTTAGCAGGAACTGAATCCGGGTCTCTCTGGAGGGCAGGCCGATGCTCAAACTGCTGAACCAAACCAGCCAGGGTACAATGATAATTTCTTAAAGGTTACTTGCAATGTGGAGCCTAACACCGAATCAATGATCTTTTCATACTATTACATTAAAACGACCGATCATTTAGAAAATATTGGGTAAGCCATGAAGATCTTCCACAAGCCAACACATTTCACTCTACAATATTTAAAGTCACATTCATTAGTACCATCACTGATCTCTTCAGAAGTCTTTACTGTGAAGCTGTCAAGCTAGTGGTAGCAGATAGATAGTAGTTTCCCAAGTTTTAGCTTTCACTAGAAAGCTCAAATTTTATCACTGTCAACAAATGCTGTCAGCTATTTTCTTTGAAGTTGACAGTTTCTTTTTATTCACTTGTGAGAAAATGCTGACATCAAACCGAGTTTGAAAAACCAGTCCTTTCAAGTAAAAATGGTGTTTCATGAAAAGCAGTGGCCAGTTTAGTTTGCAACTCAAATAATCACACAGGTGTTTTTCCTTGAGTCAACTGTACTTCCCAGGTTGAGCAGAAGTGCTTTCTGTAGCACTTCCTATGCTGTCACATGAAATATTAAAAAGATGCATACTCGCCCTGGCCCTGGCCGGTTTGGCTCAGCGGTTAGAGCGTCAGCCTGCAGTCCTGAGACCTGGGTTCGGTTCCCACTAAGGGCACGGACCTCGGTTGCAGTTTGTCCCTGGCCCTGGTTGGGTCGTGCGGGTGGCAACCACTCGATGTGTCCCTTTCACGTCGATGTTTCTCTCTCCCCCCCCCCCATCTGAACAAAATATTGAAAAATGTCCTCAGGTGAGAATAAAAAAAAAAAAAAAGATGTATACTCTGCCCTGGCTGGTGTGGAGCGTTGTGCCTTGTACCAAAGGGTTGCCGGCTTGGTCCCCAACTGATGTTTCTTTCTCTCTCTCCCCCTTCCTCTAAAAAAAATCATTAAAAAAAAAGTATACTCAGGGGTGGTATTTAATGAGATTAATTTTAATGCTTTTCAGGAACATTCTTAAGTAAAATTGAGTTTTTAAAAAACTTGTATTTCTATGTTTGCTTTTGGTAGATAACCTTTATCAAGTTAATTCCAATTATTCTTAGATTACTGATATTTAAAATAATAAATTATGTATTAAGCTTTATCAAGTTGGCAAATAATTCAACGGATTCTATACCTCACAGTCCAGTAGATCAAAGAAGCAATGGGACTTGACTCAGATTCTGCCCCCACTTTTGGACCTGCCACTATCAAACTGTGAACTAAATGAAGCCTGGGCTGGACAGGAAAGAATGGCTTTTTAGGAGTGAGCAAGCTGACCAGAGGACAAATGCCTACTTTGCCTATGTATCTTCACATAGTACAAAATGAGGTCTGTTGAATGTGATTTTGGCAATTTGAGGTCATTCTGGACAACTGATTTAACATCAGAAAAGGCCATCTTCAGCCCAGGTTTGTAACAGATTTACTCACCCAGAAATTGCAAGTCTGAATGGATTCATCTGAATCAAATAACCAAAAACACAAAAGTAAAAAACAGGTAAGTAGTCCTGGCTGGTTTGGCTCAGTAGTTAGAGCGTTGGTGTGCAGGATTGATTCCTGGTCAAGGGAACATACTTTACCTGGGTTGCAGGTTGGATCCCTGGTCCTGCTTGGGGCCGTGCAGGAGGCAACTAGGCAACCAGTCTATGTGTCTCTCTCACATCTATGTTTCTCTTTCTCGCTCCCCCTCCCTCCTTTCTACTCTATCTTAAAAAAAAAAAAAAAAAAAAAAAATCAATGGAAAAATATCCTCAGATGAGGATTAACCAAAAATAAATAAATAAACGTTTGTTAAAAATGTCATAAAGTGTGAAAAGAATCAATTGCATACAGTGTTGCACATTATTTCATATTTTATTTTCTAATTCCAATTATTTTGCATCTGCTTTTTTAAAACACAATTCCACATGATGGAAAAGGAAACCTCCAAATCAATCAGTACTAATTAGCTTTCATGAATCTATAATAAAAAGATGTAAAAGGACTCATTAAAGACCTAAAAATGAAATATGATCAGAGCCATCACTATTAATAACTATAAACTTTCTCTAAAGAAATAAAGAACAGTTGGTATTTTGCAAAACATCTTCAAGCAATTTAGAAGCTTCCATCTGTTAGTCTTACACTGAAGTAAATGACAAAAAGCAATTATTTTAAAGTGTCGACATGTATATACAAATATATATTCTACCTTCACGTTTCTTTTATTATAAGAACCCAAGACTACAAGTAAAAGAAATGGTAAATAGAGAATATAAAATCAATATAAAATATGTGCATATTCTATTTTACACAATTCTGGCTATTGAGGGAAAAGCGGTAGACATTGCTCTATATATGAACACATTAAATGTTAATCCCCAACAATTCTGCAGGTACTGTTCTCATCATTCCCATCTTACAGGTGAGGAACCTGAAGCTCAGAATAGCTGAAGGTACCTGTGGTCATCTGCAAATAAAGGGAAGAGTTGGGGTTGGGACACAGGCCACCTGACCCCAGAGCCCATGTTCTTCACTCTCCATCACCTTGTCTCCTAAGTACCTGGCAGCCTGGGGGAAGAGAGGACACAGTCCAATATACTCTCCCAATTCCTTGGTTCTTTATACCTGAGAGGTTCGTGTCTTTGATCACACTTGTAGAAAGACTGAATTCAGACTGTGTACTTTTTTGAATAGGAAGAAAAAAGGATAAAAACGATGGTAGTTTAAGGTAAATCAAAAACACAAAGTGGTGTGTGAAAGTTCACAGGAGTCCAAACAGCATAAATGAAACTTCCCCTTGTGAAGCAGGATAAAGATCTAAACATCTTATATCAATACAAATCATTTTTTTTTATCTTTACGACAATCAGGCAACATAGAGAACCTCACTTTCATTCTGATGCTTGAAAAGTCAAGCCACAGTTAATGCTGAATGTTGTTAAATCTGTACATAATATAAATAAAGTATAAATGCAGCTAGGTATTTTATTTGAAACATGCTTTTACCTAATTGATCAGTCGATTGCTCTTTAGTCAATACTGATAGTAATTTGTATCTAAGATGTTATTCAACATCCTATAATTTAATATTTACATATGATGTGAGACTAAGTTAAACCACAAGTCACAAAGAGTTTTTTGTAAGCAACTATATTTATAACCACGATACCGTAGATGTGGTGAGTAAACCAATGGCCATTCCTTAATAAAATACAAGAATTTTCATCATGCATAGTTTACAGGCTCCTTGGGGGGGGGGGGGCCTCTTTAAGAGGCTGATTTCAAGAAAGATTCAACAGTCAAATACATCTTGGCAAATCTTTTTTCACACAAACACTTGGTTTGGTTATTTAGCCACTTCAGTAATACAACATATTTATACTTTAACTGGAAATGGAATAAACACTACATGAAAAATGCAAGCCTATCAAATTTGTTAGTAATAACTATTACACCTCTTAGCAGTCAACTATTATCCTTGGATTTCAAATATTTTATTTTCTTTCAGAGCACACTTTATAGCACTGCATTTTAGGAATCAGAGTATAACAAAAACAAACCAAAAAAAATCCCCTAAACACCCCCAAAACAAACAAAAAAAACTTTTCTTAGGACCACTTCCATTCCTCATTTGAAATAATAAAACTGATGAAATTATATATTTCCACATTAAAGACAAGTTACTAAAATAATTCCAAATAGTGTTGATATGAGCTACAACTTGAGCCCAACTATTTTACTTAAAGGTATTATGATTTCAGATTTTCAAGGATGCAACAGCACTACATTGAACTGTTACTACCAAGGCAAGAAGGAAAAAAAAACAAAACTAGAAAACACATGGATTGAGCCATTATTGTAATTTTTTGAAGAATCTTTAGATAAGCCATACTTATTGGAGGAGATAAATAGAAAAATGAATGTTTCAGAAATACCATCCCTACTATTAACTGTATCATACACAGAGTTAAAACATTCTTGGTAATTAACGTGGATCTATATGTACTGCAAATTTAGCAAAACTCCTTTATGTACAAATGCCTAAATATCTTAGGAGGTTTAAATTACTCAGGAAGACAATCACTAGTGACAATTTCTAGAGGATGGTTTCTTTTAAATATCAAAAACTAGCCCATGGGCTCACAAGTGTTCAGGAACACCAAGTAAAAAACATGAACTGCGGCTGCCCACACTTAACTTCTATTCTTGATTTAACAATGTTTTATAGAACCTCAGATTTTGATTCCAGAGTTTGCACACTTTGAATATTATACTAAGCGTGGGGTGAGAGATTTGTTTTTGTTGCAAACCATGTGAAGGTCTATTCCCCTTTATATTACTTTTCATCACAGCAAAGTTCTCTGGAGACCAGCAGAATAAAAGCTTCACATGCTATATGGTGGATCTCTTCTTTTAAAGTTGTACACAATTTCAATGTGATCAGTGAGGTCTAACTAGTCCAGCCTTTAATTTCATTTTACTTGAGTTCATAATGAAAAACTAAATAAGGAAGGGCAAATCTAAATTCCAAATAACATACAAGCAAAACAACAACAACAAAAAAACCCTGTACACATAAAATACACCCTAAACATCAAGGGTATAATATACTGTGCAGCATGACATTGTCTCTATTATATTTCTCCACTGTAGCTCTTCCATTCAGAAATTGGAGACTATCTTTTCATTAAGTTGTTATTCCCTCCTCTTACCCCAGCTTAGGGATAGTTTGAAAAGGGCATAATTTGTACAAGTTGCTAGGAAATTAAATTTTCATTTATACATTAAGTCATGTGTTTATAAAGCATTCAAAATTGTAGCTTACATGTATATGACTTCTGAAATAAAATGACATAATATCTTTGTTCTGTAAAAATTATTCAACATACATGCATATGACCAATACAATCTTCTTGGTTGGGAAATTTCGTATGCACAGTTAAGTGTAAAAAAGGTTTACAACTAAATCAGTATTTCCAATGTTAAGATAATTGGATGCCACCTAGTGTTCAATTTCTGCAACTACTAACCTCACAAATTCAAAATTGCTATTAAAACCCAGGTCTAATATCTGCATGTTGGAAATGCTGTTTTGTTGATGTTTATAGTGGCAAAACAAGGTCATAAAAAGAATGCACACAATATCAAAATTAGTATAAAAATAGCCACATGCTACTTAAACATATGAAAAACAGACCGAATCATTTCTTACTTCAAATGCAGACTTCCACCTCCCTTAAATTTTATCAAAACATCAAGTATACATCTAGGTAACTGGAATATATAGAAAGTCACTGTACAGTCAACGGGCTAGTCAAAACTAGGGTTTAATCATAATCCACGAGTATAGGGCAAATGGTTTATTCAAAACACCCACTGATTTACTGGAAGTGGTCAAAGTAGGAAAGGTTTTTCCCTCCCCCTTTAAAAATAGTAGATGCGCTCTTTTACCCATAAGCTCCATTACACCAAAAGAACAAAGTGGGCTTAACATTTTACTTCATTCGGCACTACCAGTTTTTAAAGAAATACCTTAGAAACAAATCAGTCTGCTTTAACAATCTGCACTCAAATAAATGAAAATTTTAATCTTCTTTTACAGGCCACAGCCAAAATCCAAATTAATGAACAATCCTCAGAGAAGTTGGAATGCAAAATGTTGAGGTCAATTTAGATCTGAAAGGGAAAAGAACATCAGAACAAATGAAAAACAGATTTTTATATTGAAGCAACCTACCACATAAGGGAGACCTCCAACCTCCCATAGGCCACCCGGAAACAAATCCAGTCTGAAGAAGAAATTCTGTACACGATGCTTTTCTCAATTCTGGTCTGTTACCAGTAAATCTTTATAACCTCCTTCAGACTGTTATATGTTATACTGAATATTCCTAATAAAAGTTTAGTGTCTCCTTCCTTCTGTGCTGGAGATTTTTTATTTTGGGGATGGGAGCAAGACACTTGAGAACATTGTGTCTTAAAGAAAGGAACAAGTGTGATACTGACCAAATTCTTCTCCTTCTAGTCAACCTAGTTATATGATTGAGGGCTAGAACACCTATAAACCACCTAGAGAAATGTCTTGGGGAAGTAAGGTTCTCCAGTGATAAAGTCACTCTTACAACTGTTTGTTAACTCCAATTCTCTTAAGAATCATTATCTTGCCTGGCCGCTGTGGCTCAGTGGTTGAGCATCAACCCATCACCCACCAAGAGGTCGCCAGTTCGGTTCCCGGTCAGGGCACATGCCCAGGTTGTGGGCCCAATCCCCGGGGGGGGGGGGGGCATGCAGGAGGCGGCCAATCGATGTTCTCTCTCGATGTTTCTATCTCTCTCTCCCTTTCCCTTCCTCTCTCTCTAAAATCAGTAAAGAAAAAAAAAATTATTTAAGAACCATGGTTTTCTTCATCTTTTACCCGCCAGTCTGCTGAGCCCAGTTTAGAGGAAGCGCTGGCAGAGATTCATTCTTAGAGAATCTTTCCCGTCTAGATCCTCAACCTATCACCTCTGTATGTGGCTTCCTATTCAGACATGTTCTCTGGTTTGGAAGAGGTCTTCCACCCCAGCTCAACTGTCCAAATGTTTGGATCACCCTTTAATCTACAACACAATATTCCATGTCATGTCACAGAATACAATCAATAAATCTACTGTCAAAATATCATTAACAATTTAGTCACAAGAATCCTCTGGCTCAGGGTCTCCAAAAGGAGTGACATTAAAAAAATAATAGAATGATGTATTGATTTCTTATTCTTTTTCATTTTCTATTTTAGGGTATGCTTTAAAATGAACAAAGCACTAGTATAGTAGTACCATACATTTAAAAATTCATAAATGTGTCTAATGGTTTGGAGATACACCAAAATATAAGATGGATTAATAAAGATATAGACAGATACACGATAAATCAAGTGTAGGAAAACGTTAATTGTAGAATCTCGGTGGCAGTATCACTTGTGATGCCTAACTCAAATTTTCCCAAGATCAGTCTTTCTGTTTTTTAAAAGCTCTAGTAATTCTGCTACACCATCTTAGGAACAAATGCTCTAGGTATATGAAAATTTCATCTTTAAAGCAAATTAAACATTAGTATTATTTTTAGACATATATACACAGGTGGTTTCTGAACATTTTTATTTAAAGGACGTTGAAAAGAGCCCAAACCAGATATGAGTAATTCATAATACCCACCCCAACTATTAAATAAATTTACATTGCCAAAAACTAAGCTTGAATTTCATTTAAACATTGTTAAGAGCAGAAGGGCAATGAGGCATTTACTCTTGTGAGCATCACCGCTTTTCTGCTAGGGAAAACAACACATTTTCCTCAGAATAACCACACAACTCTAAACCAAGAGTCTGCCAATAGTGCATATCCAGCAGATAAAAATCACATAATGGCTAAAGGTCTAGATTTTAACAAAGCTTTTTATGTATGTTGTAATTTCAATGCTTCTCATCATGCTGGTTCAAACAAGATTCTTCTTTTAACATACTAGTATTCCAATTGAGAGAAGATCTATTTCTTTGATAAGATGTTGTGTTTCTTACACCTAAAGTTCCCCCCCCCCCTTTAAAAAATTTTTTCTTTCTTTATCTTTAGAGAGAGAGGAAGGGAGAGGGAAAGAGAGATGGAAACATTGATGAGAGAGAACATTAACTGGTCGCCTTCTGCATGCCCTCAACTGGGGATGGGGCCCACAACCTGGGCATATGCTCTGACCAGGAATCAAACTGATGACCGCTTGGGGTATGGGTCGGTGTTCAACCACTGAGCCACACCAGCTGGGCTTACAACTAAAGTTCTTAAAAGAGTTCTCTTTAGACACTCTTTTTTTTGGTTTTATTTACTTATTAACTTTATTTTTATCGCTGACACTATTAGAGATGTCTCCCTCCCCACCACCCCCAGCCCCCACCCCCTCTCCTCCCTGGCCATCACCACACTGTTATGTCTACAGATTATGCTTATGTTCTTTGGCTAATCCCTTCATCTTTTTTCATCCGCCCTCCCTGCCTCTAGACACTCTTAATTAAATAAGTTATGCTTCCAATGACTAGTATTCACATTGCCAAAGCAAATACTGATCTTTCTAGGAAGAAATGTTAAAAATAGATGAATTCTCAAAGTACAAACAGTTTGATTAATTATCTACTGAGTATATTAATTCATGGACAGGTCTCAAAATATATCCTTATTTAAGTGTTCAACATTCTTAGATTAAAGAAGTTTGAGCAAAGAGCTAATTTCTCTGTGGATAATTCACAAACATTGAAAAACACGAGGTGCATCTACTTACATCATCAATGTCTTCATCATCATCTCCAATGTCATCAAACTGGATTTCATCATCATCTCCAGGACCAAAAGTATCAGTTTCATTGATTTTAGCTAAAGAAACAATAACAAATATACTCATATAACATAACCGAGATGTTATTAAAATAACTGCCCACTAAAAGTGGTCTGATATCAAATGTTGAACTATAAAAGGAGACTTACAACTTAAAATTTTAATTTAATTAAATCTAAGTTTTATAATCAGAAAGATCCTAACTTCGACCTAACAACCCTACTATACAGAATAGTATTTGATACAACAAAACCTCTAACAAAGTGACTGCTAAGTCAAGATGGAATGTACTTGTGTTACAATTTTAGTTTATAAAGAAATTTTTAGTAAGACAGGCTCTAATGACACAAATTCTAAAGCTATTACACCTTTCAGCTACATCTTAAAAGAGGTTTGAGCAATGCTAGAAACTCACCAATCATCAGACTCATCATTTCCTAAATAGGAAATGCCAAGTAATTAATTTCAGCAGGATTTTCATGGCCTAGAGTACTATATGTTTAAAAATTCACAAATGTGTGATTATTCTAATGTTTTGGAGATACATCAAAATATAAGACATAACACAAAATATCATATTGTTTTTATAACATGCAACAGAGCCAAAAAAAACCCCCAAAAACAAAAACTCCAAAGAACTACCAGGTGAAAAATGCAGGCTTACAAAATAGTATGTAAAGAATATTTCTCCTTTGATAATCTTGTGAGGGACTTATTTTTGTTTTCCTTAAGTTCTCTACTTTAAGAAGGTATAACTTTTGTATTAGGGGAGGAAAAAGAATGTCGGCTTATCCTGTGGTATACTATGATCGGTAAGATGAACTGAAGACTGCCTTTGTAATAAAAATCAGCAATAGTACCTAATTACTATCTTTGTTACACATTTAAAGTTATATGAACAATGACAGTCTCTTGTAGAAGTCCAGGGTTTATAAAGTATAACTCGTAACCAAAAGTGTTATTAGAAAGAGAATTTCGATTATTTTCTTAAGGCATCTAGTATTATGAAGTATAGGCAGTTAGACTTAAATCATGTAAGCACAAAAGTAAATATGCAAAATCCACAAAGTTCTAACAAAATCCCTTCGCTTATTTATTTATTTTTGGTTAATCCTAACCTGAGAATTATTTTTCCATTGATTTTTAGATGGAATGGAAGGGGAGAGGGAAGGAAGGAGAGGAGAGAAGGAGGGAGGGAGAGAGGGAGAGAGAGAGAGGGGAAAGAGACATCAATGTAAGAGACACACATTGATTGGTTAGCCATCATGGCCAGAGATCCAACCTGCAACCCAGGTACGTGCCTCTGACTGGGAATCGAACCAAGACCTTCAGTCTTCGGGCTGACACTTTAACTGCTGAGCCAAACAGGCCAGGGCCAAAATCCTTTCACCTTAATTCGACCAGGTAATAGCACCATGACAAGTTAATATAGTAACTTAGACATTACCATGCTCTGGAAGCTCGCCATATGCCTTCAGACTTCTTGCTTCATCTGCATTGTATTTTAAAATTACATCAGCTTTATTGTCCTTTAAGAAAGAAAAATAACTTTTAGAACTGGTTATGGCAAAATATTAAGTTTTCTCCTACCCTCTGAAAAACATCCTCAGGTTTAACCCACTATGAAGCTTGCATGCATAAATATGATCAAAGAGTCTGGGGAAGGTATTCACAGAACTCACTTTAATAAGAACATAACTGTACAGACCCAATCTTGTAGATTATGTACCATTACCCTTTGGTTAGAGAAGTCTTTTGAAATATAAAAATTCTGCCTGGCTGGTGTGGTTCAGTGGGCTGAGCGTCGTTCCATGGACTGAGAGGTCCCAGTTTAATTCCTGGTCAGGGCACATGCCCGGGTTGTGGGTTCACTCCCCAGTGGGGGGCGTGCAGGAGGCAGTTTCTCTCTCACATCGATGTTTCTCTCTCTCTCTCCCCCCCTTCCTCTAAAAAATAAAAATAAAAATAAAAAATAAAAAGAAATTGCCCAGGACCATAATCTACAGGGTGATTGATTAAACACTCTAATTCAAAAACTGAGACTGGTGTAATGACCTAAGGAAATTAATATACTTTTCCACGTATCAGTGGTTTCTTAGGGTAGAACTGATCACAATCTCACGTGGAGCTTTTACATCTCCTGAAGACAGATTAGTAGATGCAGAGTGAAGCCATGAATGTGTATTTTTTAAAAGCTTTTTGGGTGTTTCAGATGCAAATGTCCCACTGAAAACCACTGAATTAGAATGTTCATACTTCCCCATTTGAAAAAAATATGACCCAGTGAAGAAAGAAAAGTTGAAACTGATTGTTTCAAAGGCAACGAAAATGATCAGTGATGTGATTCAGACCTGCACTTCTTAAACTGTAATGTGTAAAAGAGTCCAGAGGGATCTTGTTAAAATGCAAATTCTGATTTAGGAGGCTTGAGGTGGGAGCTGGGGGTCCAAGGATCTGCATTTCTAAAAAGTTCCAAAAGCCAGTGATGCTACTGGTCCCCCTAAAACACCTTTTAAATGGCAGGGGCAGAGAAGGAGGATCATGGGAAATTAAGAATCAGAAAAGCTGGTCCTGGCTGTCATTTTCTAGTCATAGTGTTTTACCTTTTGGCACCTTGATTTCCTATGTCAAACAGGGACTTTTTCTCCCTGCTTCTGGGGTCATTTTTGAGATCAAAGGAAGAAAATGGACATTAAAATGGTATGAATTTAAAGAAGACTTTCTTAACCTCAGCATTACTGATACTTTGGGCTGAAGAACTCTTTGTAGTAGGCCCTGTCCTGTGCACTGTAGGGTATTTAATAGCATCTCTGCTCTCTACCTACTAGATGCCAGCAGCACTGTCCCCTTCCCTCAGTTGTGACAACCAGAAATGTCTACACTGCCAAATGGACCCTGGACATAAAAACAAACAAACAAAAACAAAAACCACCCATGGTTGAGAACCACTGATTTAAAGTAAAGATTTTAATTATTTATTCTGGAATATATATATTAAATCAAGTATGACCCAAATTATAAAAACCGAAACATCTTATCACTCACAATGTGATTTAACACACAGTGATAAGTTCCAACAGGCATAATCAAATGGGTTTCACAGACCCACAATGTCTCCAGGTTGAGATCATGAGGGGAAACTACCATTTTCTTACCTAAGTGCTTATCTAAATTTAGAGTACCTACTTATATCATGGTCTATACTATAAGTACCTTATTCCCCTCATTACCAGGCCGTGTGCATCTTGTAGGATGGCAGAGTGAATCACTCAGCTGAAGCCCCATGAGTAACAGTTTCCAGATTTTTATTTCAAGATGTATATATTTTTTAAAAAACTGGGGTGGGAGGACCAACATAAAATTACATTTTTATTTTGCCAAGAACACTAACAAAACTACTACTATACACTATCACTCATTAAAAAGGGACACTTTCGCAAAAGTCAATCTTCACCCGAGGATATTTTTTTTCATTCATTTTTAGAGAGCGTGAAGGGGGGGCGAGGGAGGGACACATGGATTGGCAACCTCTTGCATGATCCCAACAGGGCCCAGGGATCGAACCTACAACCCAAGTACATGCCCTTCACTGGGAATCAAACTCAAGACCCTTCGGTTTGAGGGTAAAGCTCTAACCAATGAACTACAGGGCTAAAAAGAAAACCTTTTAAATACACACACACACACATACACAAAGGGAAAAGTGACCATTTTGCTTCATGAAATAATTACATGGCCTGTATTTTTTGTATAGTGAAAATGTGAACTCCACAGGTTGGCATTTGGGAACCATAATCTCTGGGGTACTAAGCACAATGTCTTATGAAAGAAACATTTGTTGATACAATGGTGAGGAGCATACTGGGCTGGTCAGGTCAAATACGGTTAGGATTCATGTTCCTAACATTAATGGATCATCAAAATCAAGCAAGTGAACAATAAACATTTTATTTTATTTTACCTGGTAGTCTCGTAGGCCAACCAATATTATGTCCGAGGTATTTATCCAAACCTATAAAAGAAATAAAAATAAAAAATCAAGAACAACATTGAGTCAGCATTCCCACAAAGTGCTCTTCACCCAACTGTGGTTGAAGTACCTATATTTAGAATTAGGAGGGCGGGAAAAAAACAACTATAACAAGCAGCTGTGCCTGCTTCAATTTTTGTATAATTTGGGATGTTAAAAAAATTACTTTTAAAATAATCTTTATTGTTGAATGTATTAGAGACGTTTCTCATTTTCCCCCCATTGACCCCCTCCTCCCCAATCCCGCGCCCCTCCTGCCTTTCCCCACACTATTGTCTGTGTCCATTGGTTATGCATATAAATTCTTTGGTTTATTTCTTCCCATCCCCCTTCCCTTCGAGGTTTGTCAGTTTAGCAACCAATTTGTACTTCCTAATCCCTTCACCCTTTTCACCCATTCCCCCAACCCCCCTCTCATCTGGCAACCAACAAAATGTTCTCTGTATCTATGAGAATGTTTCTGTTGTGCTTGTTCATTTTGTTTGTAGATTTCATTGTTGATAGATATGTATTCATTGCCATTTTGTTTGTTCATATATTTTATCTTTTTCTTCAAAAAGAGCCTTCATCATTTCATATAATAATGGTTTGGTGATGAACTCCTTTAACTTTTTCTTGTCTGGGAAACTCTTTATATGGCCATCGATTCTAAATGACAGCTTTGCAAGATAGAGTAATCTTGGTTGTAGGTTCTTGCTTTTTATCACTCTGAATATTTCTTGCCACTCCCTTCTGTCCTGCAAAGTTTCTTTTGAGAAATCAGCTGAGTCTTATGGGAACACCCTGGTAGGTAACTAACTGCTTTTCAGATTCTCTCTTTGTCTTGAAACTTTTGCATTTTGATGATGATGTGTCTTAGTGTGGGCCTCTTGGGGTTCATCTTATTTGGGACTCTCTGTGCTTCCTGGACGTGTATGTCTGTTTCCTTTACCAAGTTAGGGAAGTTTACTGCCATTATTGTTTCAAATAGGTTTTTGATTTCTAGTTCTCTCTCTTCTCCTTCTGGCACCCCCAAGATGCGAATGTTGGCACGCTTGAAGTTGTCCCAGAGGCTCCTTACACTTTGTTCATTTTTTTTGGATTCTTTTTTCTTTTTGCTGTTCTGATTGGGTGTTTTTTGCTACCTTATATTCCAAATCGATGGTTTGCTTCTTGGCTTTACCTACTCTACTATTAAATCTGTGTAAATCATTTTTTATTTCAGTTAGTGCCTCCTTCATTTTTGACTGTGCTTCCTTCATTTCTGACTTGTCCTTTTTTATGCTCTTGAGGCCCTCACTAAGTTCACTGAGATTTCTCACTAAGTTCATTGAGCATCCTTATCAGCAGTATTTTGAACTCAGCAACTGTTAGGTTGCTTATCTCCATTTCGCTTAGTTCTTTTCCTGAACACCTCTACTATGATGGGAAATTAGTCACTGCTTTCCAGGAAACCCATTCATGATCATAATTCAGTTAATTTAACATTTAATAACACTCCAGCCTTTCCCCCCCTTTCCTGACACTAACAATGCATTAAAAGCCAGGCCACTGCCCTGGCCAGTTTGGCTCAGTGGTTGGAGCATTGGCTTGCGGACCACCAGAGTTCTGGATTCGGTTCCTGCTAAGGGCACGTACAAAAAAAAAAAAGCCAGGCCATTTGTTTTGCATAGTCCCTCAATTTGGATTTGTCAATTATTTGCTCATTATTAGATTCGGGTTAAACATTTTTGGCAGGCTGGCCCATAAAAACTGTAGAGCCACTCCCCCCATATCAATTTTGTATTAAAGTAAAACAAATCTCCACACTTACCTTTTTTCTCAATTTCCCTCTGATGTGACACAACCTCTTTACACCATCAAAACACATTGCTTCCAAGCGTCCATTTCCCAACATTTTGATTACTTGAGCATATTCTAGGAGAGGGAAAAGGGCATAAAGATATTGTTCAACTTTTGATAAAAGCAATTTAGAAGTCCACATAAAACTGACTAGTATGTACAGGTATACTAGTTGGGAATAAATATATGCAGTAAAAAAAATGCAAGGAAGTGATAAACCCCAAGCTAGTCAATGTCAGAGCCACAAGCAAGACTCTGACAAGCTGTCTGCCTGCTATCAGAAATGTTTCTTTATGACTTTCTGCTTTACTTTTGGAGATCAAGGTGGCCTATCTGAAAATGTACACACTATACCTCCTCAATTTCTCGAAGCCTTTCCCAATTTTGGACCTCCTTTCCCTTAGAACTTTTAGAAGCTAATCTCATCACAACATTTGGTACATTTGACAAATAAAAGTAGCTTAAATATTAATTATGTCTTTGCTATATTAGAATATCTTAGTGATTATTCTAAAGTTTTTGTAAAGCCAGAAAGATGTTCTCAGGCAAAATGCCAAACTTTTCATTAAAACCTTTTCAAAAGGGTACCCAGGAAGCCAACTGGTTTCCCTGCCCTTTGAAAAACTGAGGAGACTATGAGCATTAGCTTGACCACGGGCCTGTTTTTTTTCCCATTAAATGACAGAAGACATAGGAAGTGGGGAGCATCACTTCAGAACCTTTAGCTTACTCAAGCTGTACATTAGCCTAACCCCCAAAGAGGATATCCACTAACTGGTAAATATGGAAATGTAACTTTGAAAAGCTCGAATGTGGGGTTGACACGTGAAGTGAGTTGCTCAGACTACACAGAGTGAACCTAGCACCTCAACATGGTTAGTCAATTCAAAGACAGCCTCCCTTTCAAAATGGGGGGAAAAGTATGAAAAAGAAGTAGTGGCAGTCGAAATCAAGTCAACTGCTAATGGGGGCCAGAATGACTAAGGCTAAGAAACGGAAAGGTCTCTTAGCCAGAAAATATATTTCATTTTTATGTGGCATGAACAAATCACCAAAGCTCTATAAAGACTATAAATAATTATGTTAAATTATTGGGATTAACTGGAAAATTTTGAATAGGGACCATAACCTGGATATATAATATATTCAAGTTAAGTTACCTGAGGGTTCTGTTATGTAAAAGAATATACCTGTTCTTGAGACACACGATGAAGTAGTAAGGGAGCGGTATCACGATGTCTACAACTACTGCAACTAACTTTCAAATGGTTCGGGAAACATAGACATGCACCCAAATTTAAGAAAAGTTCATTGGTCTGGTCTGGTTTGGCTCAGCGGTTAAAACGCTGGCCCACAGACTGAAGGGTCATGGGTTTGATTCTGGTCAAGGGCACGAGCCTGGGTTGCAGGTTCAATCCCCAGCTCCCATAGGGGTTGTGCAGGAGGCAACCAATCAATGTGTCTCTCTCACATTGATGTTTGTCTCTCTCTCTCTGTTTCCCTCCCTACCTTCCACTCTCTCTAAAAGATCAATGAAAAAATATCCTCAGGTGAGGATTAACAAAAAGAAAAAAAGAGAAAAGTTTGTTGTACTAAACACAGTAATTTTTCTGAAGGTTTGAAATTACTCAAAGTAAAAATATAGAAGCTAGTATTATATATCTTGGGCTGGCACTTACCAAGTCCTAATTAGTTTGAAAAGGTCAGTCAAATGTTTAATTTCATTTTATTATATTTTATGAAATTATATGCTAATGACACCGGAGAAGTGAGGGGACGGCTTCAGATTCATCCCTCAAGTATTCATGGTCTACTGCACATACTATGTAGCACCATTTACTATCAAAAAAGGTCTACTAAATCATGGACTTGTCAACCATCACTTTTAAAGCTTAATTCCCTCTGAACTTTATAATTCATTCTTAGAGATGAGTGTTCACACAAAACAATGAAACCTATACATTTACAGAAACATCACCAATCCTCAACAGGCTAAGTACACCAAGAAATGAATACCAATAGAAATGGAGAAGAGAAAAAAGAGACATGAGATTCACTGCTAAGAATTATGAATAGTATCTCTTTTATGTTTAGAAACTGAAATTCTACAATTAAACCACAAAGCCATTACTAAAAGAGACCTAATTTATGAAAACGCTTACCTTGCCCATCTTCTTTGAACACCAGTTCTCTTTTCTCGGATTCATTTTCATTCTTACCCCTACGTCTGTTTTTACCTCCTTTACCTAATGGTTTTAAAGAAATAAAAAGACATTATCTGCAAAACAGTAGGAAAATAAACTAAATTAAGGTTTATAAAAACGGTTTAAAAAAAAATCACTTAAGCCCAGTGGTGTGGCTCAGTGCATTGAGCATCATCCCATGGACTTAGAGGTCCCAATTGGATTCCTGATCAGAGTACATGCTGGGTTGCGGGCTTGATCCCCAACAGAGGGCATGCAGGAGGCAGCCGATCAATATTTCTCTCTCACATTGATGTTTCTATCTCTCTCCCCCCTCTTCTTTTTCTAAAAAAAAACAAAATAAAAACAAAATAAAAAAAATCTATAAAAACATTAAAAAAAAAACAAAATAAAAAAATCACAAATTTAAAAATTCATCAAATTTTGTCATATAATCATTAAATTTACAATCTCCAACCATATTAAATATATACATATCATCACTCCGTTACCCTTCTTGGAAATTCCTTTGGAGTATTTCTGACATAAAATATAAACAAACCAAAACAGGTATTATATAAAAGTAAGCATATCCCTTTCTGAGGACACCTGCCTTCAATGACCAAGCTGCCCTGGATCATAAAGATAATGACCACTTGGTTGACTACATTGCTCAGGGACCCCTCCTACAGCGGCCCACATGGGACAAGGTGAGAGATATAGCGGGTCTTGATAAATTTTATAAAAATACCTTGTCTCTCTTGTACCCAACCACCTGAACCCCCCAGCCCAATGAAAGGCTGAGTGCAAGATGACTGAAAAGAAACAGAGCAAGGTGAAGAAGAGCATAAACCCACCATTGATGTAAAAAAAAGAAATTCATATTCATATCTACTTATATATACATAAAATATCTCTGGAAGGGCATACACAAAAAAAGTTAACAATGCCTGCGAGAAAGAGAACTAGTTGGCAATGAGACACATCCAGGAAGACAGAGTTCACTTTTTATAGTTTTTGAAATCTGAATCATGAATATATTTAGTATTCAAAAATTTTTAATTAAAATATACTTCAACAGCCCTGGCCAGTTTGGCTCAGCGGTTAGAGTGTCGGCCTGCGGTCCGGAGAGACCCGGGTTCGGTTCCCGCTAAGGGCACGGACTTCGGTTGCAGTTTGTCCCCGGCCCTGGTTGGTCGTGCGGGTGGCAGCCACTCGATGTGTCCCTTCACGTCGATGTTTCTCTCTCTCTCTCTCCCTACCTCTCTCTCCCTCCCACTCTATCTGTACAAAAAATGGAAAAATATCCTCGGGTGAGGATAAAAAAAAAAAAAATACTTCAACAAAAAGCAGAGGTGTGACATGATCCTCTGGGTGGGAAAACTGGTGAGAAGATCACTGTTCTTATCACAAGTAGACTGAAGCAAGCTGAGCTTAGTCATGAAGAGGAAAGGAACTTGGAAGCAACCAAGATGTCCTTTGGTAGATGAATGGATAAACTGTGATACGACCATACAATGGAATATTATTCAGAAGAATAATAAAAGGGACATTTTTGAGATGGAAACGAGAGAATTAAGATCAGATGTAGGACGAGGGAGGAGTAAAGGATACTCCTTTATGGAGCTTTCATACACACACAAACAAAAAACCCAGGATCTGGCTCAGCCTATGTAAAATGAAGGAGTTAGAACAGAAGATCCAAATACTTCCATTTAGGATTCTAGAACTCTTCTGTCTATTGGTGACTTTAAATATCTGTCCTTTTCCAGTGCCCCTTTGTTTTCCATATATTAAAATGACACTGCTGATCATTTCTCAACTCTCCTTTTTCTGACCTTGAAAAGGTCACTAGCACTATTCTTGACTTTTCATCAGTCCCCCTTCGTTATGCCTATCCCTTTCAAGCTTCATCCAGTCCAAATTCCTACCTTCTGCTCACTCACTTTCTAAGGAAATTTATATTTCTCTCACCTATCACTTCTATGCTAATAATTTTACACCTCAGCCCCCTATGTCAACTAAGCCTCGGTCTCCTATTTTTAATGGCTCAGTACATTTCCAGTGAATATGTTACTGTCATCTCAAGCTCAATTTTATTCAAAACTCCATTTAGTTTCTTTTACAAAGCTGGTCCTTAATCACTATCCTTGTTTCTGTTAGTGGTAACATAACTACCTTAAAAAATTAAGTCTCACCCTGGCCGGTTTGGTTCAGTGGTTAGGGCGTTGGCCTGAGGTCCAGAGAGAACTGTGTTCGCTAGGGGCACGTACCTTGGTTTTGGTTTGTCCCCGCCCCGGTTGGGGTCATGTGGGTGGCAGCCAGTGGATGTCTCTCTCTCACATCGATGTTTCTGTCTCTCTCTTCCTCCCTCCCTCTCTTGCTCTATCTGAAGATGAATGCAAGTGTCCTTGGGTTAGGATTAAAAAAAAAAAAAAGAATTAAATCTCTCAATCTATAAACATGAAAACAACCTATCTCTCAATATTTCTCCTCCATTCCCTTATGCTTCAATCCAAGTAGACTACTCACTGTTCTAGTAACTCGCCCCTAACAAGCCTATGCCTATGAGATAGGTACTATTTTGTCTTTATTTCACAAGATAATGGACTTCAAATGGTTAAGTGGCTCATCTGAAGCTTTATCACGTGACCTGAGACCTGGGATGTGAAACCCCAGAGACTATGCTCTTAACCACTACGCAACCACCCATTTACTTGTCACAATTACCCTATGAGGCAATAAGTCATTTATCCCTAGTTTACCATTGAGTTCGTCTAAGCTCAAAGAAGTAACTCACTTAACATTTGTCAGTGAGTGTGGGTGACCAGATTCAAACCTAATCTTCTTTTGCCCTGGCCGGTTTGGCTCAGCAGTTGGAGCACTGGCCTGCGAACCACAGACTCCCGGGTTCGGTTCCCGCTACGAGCACATACCAAAAAAATTAAAACAAACAAACAAACAAAAAAAACCTAATCTTCTTTTGTTCCTGGCCCCCACATTAGGGTATCTCTCCACAGCATTTTGTTCCCATTCCAGACCCTAAACCACATTGGCAGTCATTTGCAAAAGTGGCTATTCGTGGTAGTGACATTAAGGGATATATATGAGCATGGAAGCAGCAAAAGATTCACAGCCCAAACAGAATAAAGAATGTGTACTTGGCCACTGTAAGGACAGACACACTTAACTTCTTGCATCAAGTGCACTTACCCTGTCTTGGGCGCAGTCTCACAATGCTCTGTGCGATTGCTAGGTGGGCCTCTACAATTTCCTGACCCACCAAGAGTCCTTAGAATTCAGTAAGTATTTGAGGATTTCCTAGGGAACACCAAAACTAATTTCCTAGGAAGAGAAAAGTATCTTCTGCTTCAAGTTATTAAATCATGCCAGATCTTCAAACTAGAGTGAATGCTCCAATAGGGCAAGAATCACCTCCTTTGTTTGCTGAGTTATATACCTGAGCTGGCAATTCTCTGAATAAATCAGTCAATAGTAGTCCATACACTCCTAAAGGAGTGGTGATTTTAAAAATCAAAGGTAGTAACATCCTGAAAGTATGGGAGCACCTCACCACAAAATGCTCTTCTGAGTGGGCCAAAGGATACCCTTTTTCCTGAGTTAATAAGGTGACAGAATCTAGAGGAAATCAGCTAAGAATCAGCCCAAAGCTGAAGTCTTCTGACACACAATTCACAGCCTTACTTGTGTAACCATCATCAAGATTATCTTCACAGGGCCTCTGGCTTTTCCAATGAAAAAAAACAAATTTATTTCTACATTAAACCTCATCTCATAAAATGCAGGGGTCTTGAAAAAAAAAATCTGAGTTGTAATTCTCAAGTTCAGAGTAATGGATTCCCAGGTGTTCACTGCATTATCTATAATTTTTGTACACCCCAATGTTACTTATAAAAGAGATTCATCAATTGTAAATTTACCAGAATTAACCATACCCTGATCACTTCCCTCTCTATTTTATTGCCATATAATGGAATTAACTTTAAAGGAGGCTAGTGAACTAGATGTGATTTAATGCAGAAGTCCTGTCCCCTTGGAATCAAAGGGGAATGAACCTATTATTCACCTAAGGGTGTACTCAACAGAAGTGAGGTGACTTAATCCAAAAAATATTTATTGAGCATCTAAGTGTCAGGTGCTAGCAATCCAATGTTATTAAGACACATCTATTATTGCCCTTTACAGCTTATAGTCTAGTGAAGGAACTGAAAATCTCATGCTAGAAATAAAAGTGAGAATAAGATACCTACTGAAGGGATCCAATTACCATCTCATAGGTAATAAAGGATTATATAGGTTACCAGAAAACTATGACTTTTAAAACCCTATTTTATCACCCTGTCTTTCCAAGAATAATTAGAAGTAAAATCCTTGCTACAAAATGGACCTACAAATTAGATTTCTTAGGGCAATAAGGTAGAGTGCCCTGAGGCAACGGCACCAAATCTTGCACAGAGCCGCAACCAAATATCCCAAGGGATAAAATGAGTAGTGACAGCTACAGAGGAAATGAGGCAGAAACGCTGGAGCCAGCTGTGAAGTAGAAAAGTGAACAGAAATAGGCTAGCTAGGTCAGGGCAGGAGGTCTCAGGATGAATAATCAAAGGAAACTTCTTGTGGGTTCTGAAATATGCTCTTCTCCTATTGGAAATACAGTTTTCCCAGTTTCTACTTACACAATTTCCTTTGAGAAAATATAAGGATGATCTAAAAGCAGAAACACCCTTAAGTCTAAAAAAGGGAATTTTCTTTAGGGCTGTTCTGCTTTTACCTAGACTACGCTTTCCATTTTGGAAATTCCAAATAAACTTATTCTCAAGTCTGACAACCTGTAAATATTTAACATCAGAATGGAGGGAATTTAAAGGTCTTTACTTCCAGCACAATATATCCATGATCTAAAACAAAAGTAGAAAACTTGGCTAAATATCGAACAAGTTTTTTTTTTTTTGGGGGGGGGGGTAAACCCCGTAAAGGGATGGGGAAGGGTATAACTACAGAAATGAACCACAAAAATGCATCCAGATTTCGCTCCCTGTTTACAGGAGAGTAATAGTCTCAACAATATTCAACAACTGTCCATAAAGAAACCCATGCAGGAGTACCTGATGGTCACTAAAGCAAGCATCACCCTCTAAAAGTTAAGAACTGCTTCCAGGATTAAACTTCCCTTGCCTGGGAAGCCCAAAAGCGCCCATTTGCGAAGCCCAGGCGCCCCAGGGGAGGGCTCCCACGGGTCCCCATCGCGCCGCGGTCACTGTGGCGCGAAGCAGGAGCAAAAGCCCACGTTCTCCCGCAGGAAGCCCTACAAAAATGGCGTCGGCTCCACCCCAATGTGACCAAACTGGAAGACAGGAGTAACTTCTCAGCACCTCTCCCGAGCCCGGAATCGCGTCCGGATCGCCCAGCCGCCTGCAGGCAGGGCGGAGAGGAAGGTCACGGCGGCCTGAGCTATCCCGAAGCAGCAGGCATGGCCAGGAGACCCGGCAGAGAGGAGTCGTGGTCCCGGAGTCCAGGCGGCATTACCTTTATTCTTGGGCATGGCGGTGACTGCGGCCTCGCGGCGTTTGCGACTCTTATTCGGGCGGGGGCGACAGCGGCGGCGGCAGCGACTTCTCCAAGGGGCGCGAGGGGCGACGCGTGGAGCCGGTCGCGTGCGCGGGCTAGTCTCGAGACCGAGTTCTTCCGAGATCAACCTTCACACACGCTCCGCCGCAGCAAATGGCGTCGCGTCTGCTTGCGTCGCTTCTCTCCGCCTCCACGCCACCTGGGCCCGCCCCCCCTGTCTCTACTGCGCAGGCGTGGCCGACTGACCCCCTATTGTTAAAGCAGAGGGACACGCGCTCCCGGAGCGTTCACTATAGTTCACACAGCACAAAGGGGGCGGAGCCAAGGCGTCACACGAAAGGGCGGGTTCAGGGAGCGCCCGCTGCTGGCTGACGCCAGAGTTCTGCCGCTTTGCGACAAACCGGTCTGAGTTTGAGCAGCTGACTCATCAACTATAACCTCACATCTGTTTTAAAGCGTCCTTTTCACCCGACCTACCAGGCTGGGAGTCTGAGGGGAAGGACAAGGCTTTCCTGCCATCCCCATTACCAAAGCATAATGTCTGCATGACACTTGTCATTACTTTATGAATATGTCTTCCCTACCTCAATGTAAACCTTATTAGGCTGAGACCACATCTGTTGCTTTAGGATTACCAGCACTTAGCAGAATGTCTGGCACAGAGTAGGTGCTCATTACATACAGGAAGGAATAAAGGGAGGAAGGAAGGGGAGAAGACCTAAATTCAGTGTTGTGAGCTGAAATGTGTACTCCCAAAATTCCTATGTTTAATTCCTAACCCCTAATTCCTCAGAATATAACTTTATTTGGAGATAGGTTGTTTAAAGAGTTGGCACTTTGATCTTGAACTACCAGACTCCAAAACTGTGACAAAATAAATTTCTGCCAGTCGGTGTTTTTTTTTTGTTTTGTTTTTATGGCGTTGTAGCAAAAACACCATCATAATATAAAACTACTAAAAATGTCTACTGGGAAGGAAGGGATAACTGCAGGTCTACAATCCATTCCCTCTCTACAAGCAAGCAATGACCTCAAATTTCCTTTTAAAAGTGCTAGTGAGCCCTGGTAGGTTTGGCTCAGCGGTTGGAGCCTCAGCCTGCGGACCAGAGAGTTCTGGGTTCGGCCCCCCGCTAGGGGCACATACCAAAAAACAAAACAAAAAAGTGCTAATGATATTTATTAGTAGAAAGAAAACAAGAAGTCCTTATCTCTAAAATGCTTTTAGCAAGATACACTTGGTCTATAGAGATAGCTTATTGTAAAACTTGGACTTTGTGGATTTATGAGGCATGGTTGGCTGGAGAATGGGGGCTTATCGTTTAAATTATGTAATTAATGAGGCATAGAGGGGGGTGTTGCAAAACTAAAGACTCCTTTAAAAATAATTTTTTAAAATTGATTTTAGGAAGAGACAGAAACATCCCTGAGAGAGAACATCAATTGGCTGCTTCCTCTGTGCCCCCAACTGCGGATCAGGCCCACAACCTGGGCAGGTACCCTGACTGGAATCGATCCAGCAACCTCTTGGTGCATGGGTTAACGCTCAACCACTGAGCCACACCAGCACGGCCCAAATGACTCCTTTTGTTTAAATAATGTCTCCATGTACAATGCACAAAAGGAAACTTGTTCTTTAATTCTGAATCAGTGAGGGAGAAAAAAGTCATTTTGGAGCTAAATCTGATAATTTTGGACTTCTCCAAGAAAAGATTCTCATTTGTGCCTGGTGATTACCCTGTGTCCTTTGAATGATTATTCAAGTTTGGTATTGGGTAAGACCTATGACGTATGATATGAGTCCGATTTGGCAAACTCGTCAGGCTAACAAAACTTTGCATAGAATAATTTAGTTTTTACTTATTAACTCAGAAACATTCTTGTTTTAAGTTCTACTAATTCAATGATATAAATTTATACTTTGGATAGAATTTGATAATATGAAGGATTAATCATCATGTAATCGAAATAATCTGATAAAAGAACATGCATGCATTTATTTGAAACTTTATTATATAAATTTTCATTTCTTTTAAAGATTACAAAACCTGTTCTGTGACAGGAATACAAGCAATATTGTTCCAGGATTATTCATGGATACATCTGAAAGAGCTTAGATTATACATTAATAGTATGATTTGAAAACTTCCCAGATTAGACTCTTATTAAGTAAAACAATTTAAAGTACTCAGTGATATTTAATCCTTTACAAGCATTTCATAATTACGGCAGCAGTGCCAAGCATCTGATACGATTTAACCACCAATAAAAGGTACAATACATATGAACTCATGATATGGTACCTTGGGCTTCTGGCATGCCTTACTAGAGAGAAACTAGTATAAAGTAAGATCATATATAATAGTAGAAAAATACTTGTGATTTTTTTCTTTTTTAAAAACTTTTAAGTAGATGCCCACCCCATTCCCACCCATGGCCAAAAATGCAAAATAATTACATCCCTTAGGTGTATACTTTCCCTTCTGCATGGGGTAAGAGTTAAGATAAACCTAATACATGTACATAATTTTAAGAATTAAAAACTTATCACCCATAATTATTAAGGATGCTAAGAAATGGCAATACCTTGAAGCATTTTTTGATTAAAAAACAAAGCTTTAGTTGGAACACTACACTTAGAGGAACACAAACCCAAACCTTTATCCTTATGCCCTTGCTTTGTATTTAAAAGTTCTACTTTAAATACTTGTTTTAAAAACTCAGTATACGGTTCCCTCAGTACTATAGTGATAATAGGAGTAAAGATTTTCACTTCCATTAGATATTGAACTAATCTACTTAGAAGACTATTAATAGCAACTCTCTTCTCACATACATTTACGTATATTGTACTCAAATGGTATGTGCTCTAAAGAGGTTTTCTTGAGGTTTGCACCTCTGAACTTAGTCTCTAAATTTTCCTTCCCACTAATCTCTATTCAATGACATATACTTTGCTAGTTGCTCTGGGAGAAGTCATGGACATTTAAACAGCTTATCATGCACTTCAAGGTTACATGGAAAAATAATAAGTGCCTTAAGAGGTAGGAAGTAGGCTCTTATCCCAACCCTTGGTATGCCCTGTTATGAACAGTTAAAAGACTGGAATCAAAGTGGTAAATGTGAGACTAATATAATATAAGGCTTAAGAAAATTAAGTCAACTTAGTTACTAGACTTCTTTGAGAACACTCACATTGGAACCAGTTACAAGTCACTCAATCACACAGAATACAGCAGTGTCAAAAATACATAAAGCACACTGTAGGTATAAATTCTTCTTGGCCATCCATACTTAGGTATTATCATTCTGTAGATTCTTCACTAGAAAAAGTGGTTAAGCATGGCTCTGCAGAATACCACAGTCCCAAGAAAGTGAATTTCATTCCTTCATTAATTGGTCTCCACCAATGGTCACTTGGGGAGACCAGCAAAATGTAAGCAATCTGGAGGTGAAAAGAGGACTATTTTCATTTATTGAAATAAAAATATGGAGTTAAGTCAACCTCTCTGTGAATTAAATAAGGCTCAAAGTATACATCCAGTTTGTTAGTCACATGGAGTTGGACCTTTTGGAGGGGCAGAACTCTAGAACTAGATTGGAACCTCCTGGTTTAAGCACCAAGGGTCAGCCATGAAACCCATCAAATTTGTTAATCACAGAAAACAGACCTTTTCTGACCCTTTACATTCCTGAGATATCTGTCCTAATGTCTTCATAAATCTCAAATGTTCAATACCATCATGAGAGAGAATTTTCTCTACAAAATATAGTCAAGGAAACTGAATAGGAAGTAGAGAATATCAAAGCCATGTTGAGATGTGTATTGCTGGCTTCTGTGGTGATTGAGCATATCTGTACCAAGGCTCCCAAATCCTGAATATTTTTCTGCTCTCATCTCAGGGGAGACCTACCCCAGCCCCTTTCCTACGCAAACTATTCTGCCTACCCAGGGAGCCTTTGCACCCCTCTCCCTCTTCAAGTCTTTCCTGGGCCAAGGGTATAGGGCACAGCTAACGGACAACCCCACCTCCCATGATGTCTCCTGGTCCCAACAACAACCACTTCTCCAAAACAGATGGGAAATGGTTGAGCCAAACCTGCTCTTCGCAGCCCACGTGTGAAATGTGCTCTGCCATACACACCACACCCTCTCCAGACACTCGCTAAGTTGACTTTTCCCATCTGTCGGCTTCACAGCATCTCAACTCTGCCTTGTCAAAATTATTACATTTTTGGACTTTTGGGGTTGCTTGTGAATAAATGAATCCATATAAAATCTGCTAAAGACAAGGGTCTCTTGTACTTAGAAAGAAGACATCTTTATAAATTAGAGGGAATGAAAATAATTTATATAAAAAATTAAAAGGACAAAAAAACTTACCTTAGTTTAACATCATCACTTGCAAGGGAAGATACAAAACACATGGTAGTATAATCTGTATTTTCTAGTATGTACTTGGCAATACTAAATGCTAATCTACCAATTTAGGATAGTATTTTGGATTATAAGCTAACAGGAGGTTTGTGAAAGTGGCCTGATAGTTTAGTTCCTTCTTTCACACTGAAATATCTTTAAGACTGAACTAAAACCTCCTGGGAGAAGCCCTGGTAATCAGCAACACTATCTGGTGAAGGGCCTCACTACAACCATAGGGGCCTGGAGGAACTGGACTTGAAGAAATTAATGAAAAGGTTAACCCAGCACAAGCACTACATTTAGAACACAATGTTGGCCAAGTTTGTCTACTGTAAATCAAAGGCAATAGGAATACCAGAACCACAGATACAATAAATTATGCTCATGAACTGCTTTTTAGGCAGAAAACCTTCAGTTTTGTGAACATGTAACGTTTTTACCCAATAAAACTGGCAGTTGGACTAGACAAAGAAGGCAATTCTTTGAAAGCAATAAATTGGCATTCATATACCAGTAGAGGAGTGCCCCAAGAAATATGTAGTTTTTGAACAACTCAGCTCCCAGTTGGGTGATAACCTGAAGGGAAGGCAGCATGGTGCTATGGGGAAAAACTGAATGGGAAGTTAAGGATTCTAGTCTTTGCTTTGGGTCACAGGTTCTTTACATGCAACATGAGAAAGATGGACAGATGACTAATAAGTTTTTATACATTTACTTCTGTTTCTAAAAGACTACGATGGAAAATACACCTAAGCAATTATGGAATAGCATCAGTGTCAAAAATCTGAAAATATATGCCCAGTTACATTAACATTTTAAAAGTGACAAGAATTTGGGATGACTGTGATTTATAACACTAACGAGAAAGAGAGAGAGAGAGAGAGAGAGAGAGAGAGAGAGAGAGAGGGAAGGGAGGGGGGAAGGGAGGGAGGGAGGGAGGGAGGGAGGGAGGGAAAGGAAAGGAAGAAAGAAAGAAAGAAAAAAGCTTTCTTTCCAGGCAATGAAAAGCATCCATATATTCAAGAATTTAAAAAACTTTCTCCATCCGGATCTTCTGAAATCCCTCCTCTCATACATTTTTTCAGACGATAAACTTACATTTGATTTCTACACAATAATCATTTTGTGTCACTTGGGCAAAAGGAATGTTATAGATTTTCCCTTTCTCTTTAATTGCATAGAGGAGAAATTAAGGAATAACGAGCGGCTTCCAAAACAGACAAACCACACTTTCTTGGCTTTGTACTCCCATGGGAAAGATTTAAAGCTTCTGGCAGGAAAACAGATTTCTGTTGTAAATGGCTCAATACATGACGAAGGAAGATCTTTTTGGGCACATTCTTGATGAGGTAAGGTAAATCACTTTTTCCTTGTTCAAATGTTTTTCATATTACATAGTAATGTATGCTAGGGTAGCTTGGCAAAGATACATGTCATAATGGAAATTTCTTTAATCAAATAAAATAATGGAAACTACCACATTAGATGTAGATAATGAATACTGTAATCTAAGCCGACTCAGTGACCATTATGAAAATTGATCGTATCTGAAGTTAAAGGAAGTATTACATGGCTATAAATCATCAGGAAGAATTCAGAAAACGCTCAATGCTAGACATTCATTTAACCTACCTTAGCTATGATTTCAGGTTAGAACAGATACTGTTTGATCAAGAATGTTTTATTCCCTAGAGTAAGAAAGTTTTAATCCAATTTCATAGAGGACTGTGGCTTTTATTACACTCAAATTAGTGTTCAATATAGAGCATCGTAATGGGATAGAAACTCATTATGATTTACCGTTTAAAAAAAAAAAGCATACTTTTCTCACAGGTATACAAGAACAGGTATCCTGTTATTCATATGCTAAATTTTGCAATTTGATCTATTTAAATATGAAGTATCCAATGTGACTTAAATGACCTGTTGCTAAAATTTCCTTTGCCAATTTCTTCACCATGACTCTCAAAAGCCTTTGATGTATATTGGTAAAATTCCAAATTATATGCCAATACTAAGTATGGACACTATTTAAGATTAAAAGTGCAAGAACTACATTCTTAATTAAAGAAAAAAGAATCCTAAAGAATTGCAAAGTATATGAACTAACTTCATAGTTGTACTCTTGATGTCATGCCACAGACATATAACTTTCTCTACCATAACAGCTCTCTAAGTTAGTCTGACAGAGCACCCGACTTTAAGTAACAAACAAACTAAAGAACCAGTGAAACAGACATGGGGAAAGATATGTACATTTTGGAAGTATTACATTCAACAGCTGTTCCACAATCTGGCCATTTTTAGGGTTGTCCAACAATACTGTTAATCCAGGTGAACTATTTAACCAGATTTAATAGTCAATTGATTAATAATAATAGATTCCAAGTTAAACAAGGCATGTATACATTAAAGAAAGCAGTACAGAAATGTACTGTATATGAATTGTTTACAAAAACATACAAAATGTTGGATGGCACAAGGGATACAGTGCTAATATAAACGGATTGTTTAAGCTAAGTGCTTAACATAAACTGTCCATCCCTATAACTAACAAAGAATATTTAAGGGACATGAAATATTTCCTATAAAAATAATGCTATATGGTGTAGAGTACTTTATTCAGTGTATTTTTAGGTGGTATTCATGTTCATTATTCTTGTTATTGATTCAGTGAATATATCTTCGTCATGTTTCCATTTTCATTTCATCCGAAGCTCCAGGAAAATCTAACTTGCTAACAATCATGTAAAGCGAGAAGAGATGAAAGCAGGAGCAGCAGCAGGAGCAGCAGCATTATGGGTACCAGCTGGGACAGTGTGTGCTTGCAGGTGTCTCTCAGATATGTGCTACCTGTCGCCAGAACTTGTGCTATCAGCTTACACCATGGTACCAAATATTTCACTGAGGTCACTTCACAGGGCTGTGGAGGTGATTTTTTTAATACCTCTCCGCTGAGCAAGAGTAGAGCGGCCTACTGGTTCCAAAACTGGTGACTGATTACGGTTTAAAGCAGAATATGTAGCTGCCATGGCACCCTGAAAACAGGAAAGAAATGTCAAAACAAAAATGACAATGGGTAGTCACGTACACAGAACATGAAATGAACATTTTTTTCCCCAGATAATTTCTTCATTAGCAAACTTATGTAGATTTTATTAGGCTCATCATGAAAATAACCACACTGGCAAAACCCTCTGATTTAACTAACACTGAAGAGGCCAATTGTGGGAGGATAAAATGATGAATAAGGAAGGACGGGGCGGGCTCATAACATGCAGTCTACTGAACATTTTTTCCTTTGCAATCTTTCTCAGAGGCAGCAAAGCATGGTCTTTTGGAACTCGTAGTTTGCTTTGGGTTGTGCATAAGAAAGGAAAGTATAAAGAAAATAGGAAATCTTTAAGCTTATCTGATGGGTAAATTCAGGAATTTAGAAGTCATTCTTGAACTAGATTTATTATAATACTTTGGCACGGCTTGATTTTTTCTTTTCTTTTTTTTTTTCTCTTTTGCTTTTATCTTCAGATAGAGCAAGAGAAAGAGAGGGAGGAAGAGAGAGAAAGAAACTTCGACATCAGAGAGACACATCTAGTGGCTGCCACCCACATGACCCCAACCGGGGCCAGGGCCAAACTGCAACCCGAAGTATGTGCCCTTAGTGGGAACCAAACCCAAGCCTCTCTGGTCCACGGGCTGATGCTCTAACCGCTGAGCCAAACTGGCCAGGGCGTCTTTTTCTTTTCTAAATCATCCATTGTAAGAGAATCTCACAGGAGAAGTGAACGCAGGCTGAGGTACAGTGAAAGGTGAAGGTGCTGCGACGTGGAGAGGGTGTCTCATAGTAGTTCTTGGAGGACATATGGAAAACAGTCCTGAATGGGGCCGCTTACCTTGACTAGATGTGGTGCGTCCTGTCTGTTTAGTTGGTATTGCGGCAGTTGGTCCCAGTGGACTATCCAAGGGTGTCTGAGCACAAGGGCAGCAGTCAATCTCTGATGAGGGTCTACATGAAGCATCTTTGACACCAGGTCCTGTAATAGGAATAATAATAATAAAGCAAGCTTAAACCTTTTTGACTTTTTTATAGCACTTGATAATATTGAGCACTTTTTCTAACTATGACAATATTTTTTCCTGGTAGTAGATAGACGTTTGGATTCAAAGCAATTATTTGGTCAACACAACAATTTGTTTTGTTTTATTTTTTAATATTTTTAGAGAGAGAGAGACAGACAGACAGAAACATCGATTGGCTGCCTCCTGCACACCCCCTACCAGGGATCAATTCCCTGACGGAATCGAACCAGCAACCTTTTGGTGCACAGAACAAGATGCCCAACTGAGCCACAGTAGCCAGGGCAACACGACAATTTGTGTTTTATTTTTTTATATTTTATTTTTATTTTTTGGTGTAGCAAATGCATTAATAAATAAGTGACTGGGAAATAAATGTGCTGTAACTTCTGGCTCTGTGACCAGCGCTATGCAGCATAGTATATTTCAGTGCAGACACAGGGTTCTGCCGTGGCAGAGTTTGGCCCCTATGAGCGAAGTGCCACAGAAGTGCTCAGTTCTACAAATCTAGGTGTGGGGGCCTTCCACTCTGGGGACCATACGTGTGGTTCCCTTGGGCAGCTGCCTCTTCCCAGCAAGCTGCAGTGTCCCAGGTGCTGGCTGAGGTAAGGCTGTCACCTTGGCCTGTAAGTATTCCTGCTCTGGTCTTGGCCTGACAGCTTGGGGACCTAAACTGCACCAGAAGCAGAGCTGGGCCACCGGAGTGCATCCGTCCTCCAGCCCTGTTGGACATGCTCTCTGACCTGGTCTATTCCACACCTCGAGGGGACCAAGGTGAAGGGTCAGAAGCACACTCAGCCCCACGATCTCCCAGAGTTTTATTGTCACATGCCGAGAACACCCAGCCTATCTCCTGTCTGGGGCTCACAGGCCATGTGTAGAAAGAGCTTCTGGCCCTACTCGCTTGTCACTAAAGCACTGCAGGCAGTGAGGGCACCAAAGGCCACCCTGGCCTCTACAGGCTGCTCCAGAGCACCGGACCTCTACTGGGGAGGCCAGACACTGGGATCCAGTCTCAGGTTGCGGGCCATCAGGCACCAAAAACTCCACAGCATCGGTCTCTAAGTACTTGGGGATTTTGCTCCCCATGTGAATCCAGCAGAAACCTGGCTCCCTGGGGTCCTGTCTGCGGGATGCCTGGCGCTGCAGGGTGGCCACCTGGTTTTCAAGTTTCTGAACCCTGTTCTGAGCCCACTCCTGATCCGCTCTCTCCAAAGTGAAGTCCTCCTGTATGTGAGAATCTGCTGCTCCAGCATCTCAGTCCGCTCCCAAGCTGCCACCAGTTTCGGGGAGGCCCGGAACACTTGCTGATTTTCTCCTCCAGCTGCTTGTTGAGCTGGGAGATCTCCTTCCTCATCAGCTCCATCTTGGGCTCGGTAGCCTACACACTCCTCAGCTGAGCCCACAGCTCCCGCATGTACACCTCCCTACTGCTACTGGTACTGTAACGCTGCCATTTGGTGTTGAGGTCTTCCACATGAATCACCTTCTGTTTTAACAGTCAGCTTTCTTCCTGTAACTTCCCAACAGCAACTTGGACAGAGGTGTCCCTGCCTGCATGTTCTGAAGCTGGGGGGCAGGCCCAGCTGGGAAGTCTCATGAAAGGTCCTTCTGGGTCCTTGAGAGTTAGTGCATTTAACAACACAGAGAGCTGGACACTGGTGACAGTGTTTTGGAGAATTCCCCTTGAATGACAGGAAGTACGTGTCCTAACCCAGCCAGCACTGGGGAAGCCCCGGTAAATCAGCCAAGTCTGGTTTTTTTAAAGCAAAAACCTAAGTCTCTCCTCCCAGAGTAACAGTAATTTTGGTGTATTACAAAGGGCAAATTACCATATTTTATGGGGTTTTTTTTTTTGGCTCTTTTTTTTCCCTTTAGATATTCTGAGGTTTCCACATTTTTGTAGGTTTATTTCTAAGTAATTTTTAGCCACTTAAGACTTTTTAATGCTGCTGGTAATACTGAAAAGCAGAACTATCCAATAACAGAAATTTAATTAGACAGTTCTAAATGCCCCTCCCTAGATTAAAGAATTCTATTTTTTTCTACTTCAAAAGCAACTCATGGTCATTATAGAAAAATCAGAAATACAGAGAACCAAAATAACATAAAGAACACCAAGAATCCTACTCTTCAGAGACAAATGATTTCTATCTATCCAAAATGCTTTCCTATGCATGAAACATAGACCCATATAATTGCTAAATAGTAGTTTTATATTCTCTATACCAACACAATTGTGATTTATAAAAGCCATGTACCACTTGTTTCATTTTCTTTTCAAAAATGTTTTTATTGATTTTAGAGAGAGAGAAAGTGGGAGAGGAAGGGGGGGAGAGAGAGAGAGAGAGAAAGAGAGAGAGAGAGAAACGTCAATTGGCTGCCTCCTGCACACCCCCAAGGGGGATCCAGCCTGCAACCCCCTCAGTAGAAAATGAAGGGAATAGAACTGGCGTCCTCTGTGTGCAAAGGGGCAAAGCTCACCCCTGCCACGGCTTGTTTCATTTTCATTCAAAATATATCTATTGAGTATCCATTAAAGGCCAAGCATTGGGTATTTAACACTGAACAAGATAGAAAGGAACTGTGACCTCAACAAGCTTTCAGCCCAGTGAGGGCATCAGTTACAAAGTAAATAGTAAGTTCTTTGATGGGATGAATAAATGTGAGGTGAAGCTGGAGGAACACAAAGCTAGATTTGACCTGAACAGGGTAGGGTGGCTTTGACGTGACTCCTTTAGAGAAATGTGAGACCTGAAGGATAAGCAGGAGTTGGATTAGAGAAGGAACAGAGAAACAGCATTTCAGGAAGACAGAATAAAGTGTGTTTGAAGGAAAGCCCTCAGGTAGGAGAGAACAGGTCACATTAAGGAACTGAAAGGAATGCATTGTGGTTGCAGCATACATCATAAAGGAGAATATAGCAGCAGATAAAGTGGGAGAGGTGAGAAGGGACCAGACCATGAAGGCCCTTATAAGCCATGTCAGCAAATTTGGACTTTTCTGGAGGCATTGAATCATTTAAAGCAAAGGAGTGATGCGGTCAGGTTTTTACTTTAGAGCGATTACACTCACTATGTGTGGAGAAAAATGGATCGGAGGGGGCAAGCCTAGAGACTCCAATTTGAGACTGGCGAGAAAGAACAGCTTTGGTGAGTGGATATAAAAGACAGACAAATGTGAATGGAATTGAGATACGTAAGAGAAGGAATTGACAGAACCTGGTGGTTGACTGGATATTGGGAATTGGGGAGATGCTATTTCAAGTACTCCTCTATTAGATATTTATAGTTTCTTACTTTTACTTGTCATTAACAGCTAAGAACAGGAATACTTGGACAGAATAGAAATAAAAAGCAAAAAATAAAAATAAAAAGGGATCTCGCCTTCCAAATTCTGGATGTGTGCAAATGTGCTTTAAATGAAGAAAAGGTTGCAAAACTGCCCAGAGGCACAACACAACTCTGTTATAATTTTAATCAGATCTGTGTGTTAACCAGTGCACTTTTGGCCAAGTCACTTAAAATCACTTCTCCTACGCTACCCTTCAATGGCTATTCCTCCTAAGGTTTCTCTTTAAATGAATTCCTTCCATGGCTCTCTGACGGCGCTCTGCTCAGATAAACTCATTTATGCTCATGGCTTTAGCTACTAGGGGTGATGTCAACTCCTAACTTCAATGACCACCCCAGACTTCTCTGCTACGAGCTACACCCACATAGCGAGTTGCCTAGTGGACATACATCTCTTAATTATACATCACAGAAGCATTTCAAATTCCTAATCTCCAAACCTGCAGTCATCACTCCTCTCAAAACTACTTTATTGCACATCTTGTTGAAGGACACTAGCACCCACTCATTTGCCTGAGGTGGAAACGTGGACTGCATGCTTGATATCTGCTTCTCATTTGCTTCTAATGTCCAATAAACCAGAGATTATTCTGCCTCCTAAATTTGTCTTCCATTTGGCTCAAATCCCACTACACCTGTTTTGGTTTACTCATCCTTCATGATCCAAAATACTGTAAAACCTTATGTGTAATATACCCCTTATATTAGGTCAGTGAAGGCTGAATGAAATAATTTAAATAAAAGTGTTGGATGCCCTGGCTGAGTGGCTCAGTTGGTTGAAGTATCGTCCCATATATCAAAAGGTTGCAGGTTCAATTGCTGACCACGGCATAAGCCTAAGCATCGGGTTTGATCCCAGGTCAGGGTGTGTTTGGGATGCAAACATGTCCCCTAAAAATCAATGGACATGTCCTCGGGTGAGGATTAAAACAATAATAAAAAAAAGTGTTGGCATATTAAGTATTCAAAATGATAGCTATAGTCCTATTCTCAAAGCCACATATGTTACATGATTCCTATGCTTGATGACATTCACATGTGAAACTTGCTCTTGAGGAGACACACCAGATTGACAGTCCTCTCTCCCAATTTTGTGGGTATTCACTATATTATATCATGATTATAATCACAAGTCTTAACTGGACAAATTAGCAAAAATTATTAGTAATAATGTGGCATTTATAAGACAGGCTTTGAAATGGATGCAATATTTTATGCTCTATTTGTATCTCCTCCTTACCTGTGTTTCTCTTTCACTAAAAAAGGATACTGGAATGCAAGTGAGTGAGAACCAAATTATAGAAATTAGAGATATAGCCTTGACTTGTTTTACTTATTAAAAAAGCAGGAAATGTCTAAACTCTGACACTTTATTTGGTAACATTACTTGATATGGCCACAACTGACCACGACAGTTTGTGACAAACTTCATGGATAAAAATTACTGCTCCACAGCCCTGGCTGGTTTGGCTCAGTGGTTAGAGCATCGGCCCTCGGACTGAAGGGTCTTGGGTTCAATTCCTGGTCAAGAGCACATACCTGGGTTGTAGGTTCAATCCCCAGCCCTGTTCGGGGTTGTGTGGGAAGCAACCAATCGATGTTTCTCTCACATTGTTTCTCTCTCTCCCTTCCTCCCTTCCTTCTACTCACTTTAAAAATTGATGGAAAAATGTCCTCGGGTAAAGATTAACAGAACAAAAAAATGTTAAAAAAGGAAAACCTGATTACTATAATGCTTAATATTTTTAAATAGTTCCCCAATACCTAGAGTGAACTCCCAAATCCTGAGCATGACCCATAAGGCCTTTCATAATCTGGGTTCATCAGCTACCTTCTACATGTACCCTGTACTAGTCACATTAAACTACTCACAGCTCCCTGGCGACATTCTGCTCTTCCTATGCCATCATGACCACAAAGAGCATGTGGGGATGATCCCTCAGTGTGGGATGGACTACACCTAAGATATAACAGCAGCAAAACTACAGTTATGAAGTAGCAACGAAAATAATTTTATGGTTAGGGGTCACCACAACATGAGGAACTATACTAAAGGGTCATGGCATTAGGAAGGTTGAGAACCACTGGACTACATCCTCTGTTCCCCAAAGCTATCTGGAAAATCCCTTCATTGCTTCTGGAAAATTTTCCCTGAAATTCTTCTGACCGAGCATCATCAGCAAACTTCTTTAGCACAGAAAACGTACCACTGTAACAGCACATGCAACACTAATTGGCCATTTCCCAACTAGACTGTGAGCTCCCTGAGATCAGGAGTTCTGAGTCACATCTTTTATCTCTGGAGTCTTCACTTATTAAGCACATTGTAGGTTCTCAACACATGAATGGAAAAGAAAACAAGTACCCAGAAAAAACGAATTATCTGGTTTAAGAATTTTCATTGTTAAAAAGGAAAAGGCTAACATTTCATTTTAAATGCAGTTTATAAAACCAAATCATCTCAAGTTTCCACCTCAAAGAAAAATCAGTAAGCACTTTTACCAGTATGTATTTTCTTCATCTCCTCTAGGTTTTTCTTATTTTGAAGTGGAACAAGGAGAATTTTCAATGAACAGAGGGAAACTAGAGTCAAGGTGGGAAGCAAGTCAGTGCTATTCAGGGGATGGCAGATCTTCCAGTGAGAAAGGCTTTCCAAACGGATTTCAAGCTGACACTATAAAACTATACTACTGTTTATTGTGAGAAAGATAGGACCCCTTTCTTTATAATGTGGACCAAAAATAGAACATGGTACAGTTATTATACGGATTGAAGGCTTTGGAATCAGCTATTTAGTTTGAAGATCCCACATGCATCTGGTGTATAACTATGGACAAGCTCAGACTAAAATTCTGGGCCTTGGTTTCCTTCTGTGAAATAAGGATACTGCCACTTATTTTACAGGGTTGTTAAGAGGATTAAACAGATAATTTAGGTGAAATGCAGCATGAAGTACAGAGTAGACACACAAATCATGAAGACTACCACTATTATTATTTATCATGTTCCTCAGCAAAAAGTAACTTTAGATGTAAAGATAAAAAAGCCAAACCAATGCCTTTCGGGAAACAAACAAAATTACTGGTCCATTTTTTTAGTTCAAATTACTTGGTAACATCACTTCAAAATACTACTTTATGCACAAGTTTCTAATTGATATTATTTATTCTTACCAAGGATTATGAAAAATTACCTTTGCTGTGTCTGAAACAGAATTCCAGTAACCACCACTGAGTGAGAATTTTCCGCTGCCAATGCGTGCCAATATTTCCTCTGGTGTATCATCAGGGCCATTTGCAAATGGAGTGTAACTAATTTATAATAAAATCAAAATGCTAATGAATAAAATTTCTTTTTTGGTTGGTAATCTTTATATTTATTTGCAGCATCCAAAAGTACTGTAATTAAATTAATGCAATACTTTATTTAAAGTAAAAACTATCAAAAACATGAAGCTCCACAAAGCACCAGATCAAGGTGTGTTATAAAATATTACTTAGATTTAATATACAAAAATATAAATACTTTAAGATATGATACATTATAGAGTAAATTATTTAAAATTGTGCATGTTTATGACATAAGAGTAGAAAAAAGTATGGAAAAATCAATTTAAGACCTCAAGACATTAATAAATAGTACATTGTATAAAATTGGAAATACAGCTATAAATGTGGTATATATATTCATACACACAGGATTGTATTATTAGAAAATGAGAAACCATGAAAAGAAAGATATTATAACAAAGATTTTAAAAACCTAGATAGATAATGTAAACAAAATATTGTTTAATAAATAGTTATAACATATATAATACACACTTACCCAGTAAGCATTGTATAGAGGAGGACACCAAGACTCCATATATCACAAGCAGCATCATAGCCTTGTCGTTTCAAAACCTAGAATAAATAAAAATTAGTATTAACACACCACTGTTTATTATATAGATATAGATAGGTTGTGGGAATGGAATTATATCTCCTAAATCGATACATATAAGAAAAACCTCAAGCCCTGGCCAGGTAGCTCAGTTGGTTAGAGTGTTATACAGATACACCAAGTTTTTGGGTTAGATCTCTGGTTAGAGCACATACAAGAGGCAACCAATGAATGAATATAAGTAAGTGGAAGAGCAAATCAATGTTTTTCTCTCTCTCCCTCCCCCTCTCGTTCCTTCCCTTCCTCTCTCTCTCTCTTTGAAATCAGTAAATTGAAAAAAGAAAACTTCAACAGAACATGATTAACAAACAAGACAATATATTAATGCTACTTTAGAACCTTCTACTACTAAAAATTTATATATACACACATATGTATATGTATACTATATACATATATATGTATATATAAATTTTGGTATTTGAATTAACACTTATTGAATGCTGTCTTGGCACATAGAGAACTATGAAGGTAAGTTTCTTATTTAAATGAATGTATATTTTGTATGGGACTGCAGAAATGGTTACATAAAACAGTACTTTTAAGAACATATATAACAGTACAAATGATATAGTGCAAAATTGTACTTTTATATATATATAATTTGATTCACTCAAAGCATTTAATAATCACCAACTATAATCAGGCAAGAACTGTGACAAATACAACACAACTCTGATTTCCTTAAGAAAATCAGAATCTGGCAGGGGAAATAAACATACAGGGTGGGGCAAAAGCAGATTTACAGTTGTTTGTATGGCAAATAATACCATAATTAATAAATAGTAATATAAGAGCCCTGGCCAGTTTGGCTCAGTGGTTAGAATGTTGGCCCACGGACCAGAGAGTCCTGGGTACGGTTCCCGCTAAGGGCACGTACCTCGGCTTCAGTTCATCCCTGGCACCGGTTGGGGTCGTGTGGGTGGCAACCAGTCAATGTGTTTCTCTCACATTGATGTTTCTCCCTCTCTCTTCCTCCCGCTCTGTCTGAAGATAAATGCAAAAATGTCTTTGGGTGAGGATAAAAAAAAAAAGTGATACAAGAATAAATCCTGTGTTTGCCATACTCACAACCATAAACCTACTTTTGCCCCACCTGTATATGTAGTTAACAATTCAACATGATAAGTATCATCAAATTATGTTTAAAGTTCTACAGGTATAAAGATGAGGAAGCAATTCATTCTTTTTTTTTTAAATCCTCACCCGAGGATATTCTTCTATTTATCTTTGGAAAGAGTAGGAGGGAGGGAGGGGGGCAGAGAGAGAGAGAGAGAGAGAGAGAGAGAGAAATATCAATGTGAAAGAGACACAGCGACTGGTCGCCTCCTGCACAACCCCAAGGACGAACTGCAACTGAGGTATGTGCTCTTGACCGGAATCGAACCCGTAACTCATTGGTCCGTGGGTTGACATTCTAACCACTGAGCCAAACAGGCATAAAGAGCAATTCATTTTTTTTTTTTATCCTCACCCGAGGACATTTTTCCATTTTTTGTTCAGATAGAGTGGGAGGGAGAGAGAGGAAGAGAGAGAAACATCAACGTGAAAGGGACACATAGAGTGGCTGCCACCCACACAACCCAACCAGGACCGGGGACAAACTGCAACCTAGGTATGTGCTCTTAGTGGGAAATGAACCCAGGTCTCTCTGGACCACAGGCCGACACTCTAACCACTGAGCGAAACCAGCCAGGGCAGCAATTCATTTTTGATATGAGGAAATAAGGAAGGCTAGGGGACAACCTTCTTGTACTCTGCCTGTAAGTAAGAATTCAGGAGGCAAAGGGAGGAGGTGGGGGAGTGCAGAGGACACTCAAAGGGCAGAGGCAAGAGAGCAGAGCATAGTTAGCAACAGTTCCGTATGGCCAGATCTCCAGGTAGGGGATACTAGAGAAACTGAAGGGCTTTTATACATTATGTTGTTAGGAAATTTAGATTTTTTTCTGTAGGCAATCAGATGCTATTGAAGCATTAAATAGGAAGAGAAAATAAATAGATGTGTATACCAGAAACATAACTCAAGGTATTGAGGAAATGACAAGAAGAAAGACTAGAGACCAGGCCACCCGACAGGAAGCAATTTGTAGCAAACTAAGTGAAAGGTTGTGAGGACTTGCACTAGGAGAGATTGAATGTATATGACAAGGGAAAAAGAATCTAAAATATTTAGGAAACAAAATGGAAAGGATTTGGTGATAGAATGGATGTAGAAAAATAATAGGGAGGACTTAAGGAAGACTTCAAAGATTTAACTTGGATGAATAGGAGACAAAGCATTAAAAGAGCAAGTCTAAGGAAAGTTTAATCATGGAAAATATCCTGAAGAAGATGAATTTGTAGGCAGGTTTTGAAGCAAAATACATTCCAATGGGCCAAGGCATAACAGCTACAGAGTGATTTCTAGAAGCAGACTGCTTCTATGCATTAGGAAATACTCATAAGAAAAAATGAGATGGCTAGATTAAGTGGCCATGCTTGGACACCAATGTGTGTCAGAGGCTATGGATATATGGACAAACAAGCAAAAAAATCTGTCCCTTATCAGTTCTAGTACCACCAGGAGAACAGATGCAAGTAGTCTTATAGAAAATATTTTATATCTAAAAAGTAACAAAATTACAAACAAGCTTGAAAAATAAATGGGGAAAATTAAACTCTATAATCCAACTGTCCTAATATTACCATCTATTATTGTTTTTGTGAAATTATTACTGCATGTTAAAAACAGAGACTTTGCAGCCAAATGGCCTGGGCTCAAGTCTAGATCTGACCTCAGGCAAATTACATGGCCTCTCACTGTGCACCTGGTTTCCTGTAAAATGCTAATAAAAGTACTCACCTTACATAGTTATAATGAGAATGAATTATTATATGTAAACTACATGTTGGGAGGATGAAATCAGTTAATACACATAAGCCCTATATCAAGGTTTACTATTATTTTCTATTATCTTGTTCATAGTTACACTTTTTTTTTACACAGTGATAAAAAGGTAAGAAATCTTGAGGGCAAAGCAGTACATTTTATATGTACTACAATGGGGAAATACAATTTCTTAAGAAAAGAAGCAACTTGATCAAAGCAGTGCCTGAGGAAGACTACAGTAGCTTTGTAGCTCTCTTGTGGAATGACCGTAGAATGACAAGAAGGGGCAATGTGCACTGAAGCTGTGGCAATCACCTGAGGGATGGCGAGGGAAGCAAAGGTTAGGATGGCAGTTCTGTGAACAGAAGAACTCTGAACTGGTTTTGGGGGATAAGAGATGGTAATTAGTTATATAGCTAAAGACAAGAAGAGACTATGCTGTTTTAGCCTCGGAGATACAGGAAGATAGGGCAAAACCAGAGAATCAGAAGGATATTAGGAAAGGTGGAAAATAAGCTAGTTTCCACTTACTTCCATGCACCAACAAGCACAAAAGTGATAGTAGGCAGCTATAGATGTCTGATTATACAGAAAGACAGAAGTCAGAGCAGAGAGAGGATTATAGGTAGTAGTGGACTTATGACAGAATGAACTATCAACAGAAGAAAAAGGGCTACTATTTTATTAGAATTATTTGTTCAGTAAGTCTTCAGTTAAACAACTATTAATTATTCTATATTAAGTACAGAAAATGAGTTTTTAAATATACTAAAATACTACAAGTAAACTCCTTCATAATTACCTCTGGTGCAACAAAATTTGCAGTATAACAAGGCGTCATGAGAAGACCGTTTTCTGCTCTTAGCTGTTTGGCAAAGCCAAAATCACAAATTCGAATAGATTCTGGATTGCCAGATTCATCCACATAAAGAATGTTGCTAGGTTTCAAGTCTCTGTGAACCACCTAAATGAAATACAAAGGAGTGAATTTACAATACATTTCCATTATAGAAAATTATTTATTCAAAACTGTCAGGCAATGCACTTAAGATAATGAGTGCTGACCTTTAAATTATCCCAATGTTATACTGATAATGTAAGTATAACTCTAACACAGAACTGGAGCAAAGAGAGGAGGACGGAAGAATAGTATTTTTACCTTCACCCTCTTTGATCAACTGAATAAGTGGGCTAAGGAGAAATGCAAATAGCAATATCATCAGTCTCCAGGTTATTCATTCACTAAACACATATTTACTGAGTGCCTATCATGTGCCAGGGTATTATATAAGGAGCTGCACATACAAGACACATAAAAGATCTTTGCCTTTCTGTGCTAGGAGCTTACACAGTAGTAGGGAGGCAAAGAATAAACAGGTGAGAGATGGGGGCATAACTAGGGAGGTCAAGGCGGGTCTCTAGAGGAGGTATATCTGATCTAAGAACTTTAGAACAGAACAAACAACCATTGTCCATGCTGTAATAACAAACTTGTGCTGATGAGCTCAATGGATCAGACATGGGGTTTAGGAGTAGAAAGTAAAAAACATCCAGACTTTATATATTTCCAATTTGATATCCATGCAACAATGACACAAACAAAAAGATAACAACCCTTTAGAATTTTATATTATTTTCCTTCTTTAATCACCTACTTGAATACTTCTTTTATCATAAGCCTCTCTGACACCCCTTATTAGACTTATGTGTTTCTTCCATCATCAATTTGTGAGTCTATTTTCTGATCAATCACCTCAGTTTTATGACTTCTCCAGACCATTTTAACAAGTTATTACTGCTGAGGCACTGAGAAGAGAACTTAGAAGACTTAGATGACTGCAGTCATAGATTCTTCAGTTCTAATTTCTGGCTATAGTACTAGGTGACTCTTGACCAGCTAGAAGTCAAGAAGCTCTAGAATTAAATCAAAACAGTCTACTTGTTAACTTCTAGGGGGCAAAGACAAGCAAAATGAGAATAAGTATTGAAAATAAACTCCTTAAGAAGTAATCTCTTTTTTTTCTTGTTTAGCATTCTTTTTCACCTCTGCTGTTCTTCTTTCTTCCCTCTCTCCCCTCATTTTCTCTTTTGCCCTTGTTGCCCCTCCCTTCAATTTCCCTTCTTTCACAAACATGATTTTTCCTTTTCCATTTACTAATAACCTGCAGGAAGAAATGAGGAGAGCATCCATCAGCCAGAAACCAGGTGACTATTTGACTTCATTCATTTGAAGGATTTCCTTTTATAAATGAATACAACCCATGATTCTCTGGTTCTGTTTCTAAACTAAAAATGGGCCCAGTTCTCAAGAGTACAGAGTAGCCTAGCAAAAACAATGCTATGTCTTCCAATTCAGAAGATCTCACCCACTTTTTCTTGGGAAGTGTAAAAATTTAATATAAACAAGGTAGAATTTCAAAGTAGCACTTCAAGCTTAATGGGAGAAGTTTACATAGAGGGAGAATAGAAGGATAATTAAGCTAATAGTGATTTTCCATTAAATGTATAAAGTAACTTCTTCTACCTATGTAATCTTAACTCAAACACGAAGATAAGAAAAAAAGTATTTATGTGTGTATTTGTGTATACATGTACATATATTTATATATAAAGCGTTAATTAAAAAGACTTACCCCTTGAGCGTGAAGATATTCAACTGTTTTGGTTATAGTAAAGAGGACAGCGCTGGCCTCTCGTTCAGAGAAAAATTTCTGTCTAAGAATTTTATCCAGCAATTCACCTCCTTTCATAAGTTCTGTCACTACATACACATATTTTCCATCATCATATACCTATAAAATTCAACACCAAAAGGTAAAAAAATTATTTGAAACTTTCTATGTGCTCAAAACAAAGTTTTGCATATTAAAGAGAAATTAAAACTTACTTTATATTCAAGAAAAATTTTACTTATCACAACCAATGGAGGATATAAATCTTGCAAACAGTTTTATACATGTAAGAATATTAAGTAGGAATTGATGAGATTGAATATCAGAAAAATAACCCATAATTTCCTTCTGTGAAACTTAATTCATGGAAATCAAAATAACTATGGGCATTGTATACAAAGGGGCACTGAATTTTTGCACTTAGGGTTTGTTCCTCTTGATCTTTCTATCTACTGCTAAAGGCAGGGACTGCTACAAAGACATACTCCTGTGATTTTCCTGGAAGTTCTGAAAGTACAGAAATTCTATATTTATATGCACAATGCAATGAATTATTCTGGTTTTGGTTAAACTGAAAGTCAAGATGTGGCAAGAATTAAGTAGGAAGACTAGGTAGCAAAGAGAAATTCTATCCAATCACCCAGAAGCACACCAGTTTACTCCTAATGTAGAAATAGAACGCTCACTATAATTTTGTATTTATATTTCAGGCAATCCTGAACTGAAATAACCCCTTTATTAAACTTTAGTCTCTTTTATTCCCCCTTCACCACAGAGTTCCTGCACACCTTTATTTAGCTTCAAAAGAAGTATCATGTACTGGGGCCCCAAATATGGAAAAAACAAGGTACCTGCCCTCAATGTTTTTATTCCAGGAGGGAAAAACAGAAGACACAGATCTAAGAAATTTTAAAATATTGGCGATGGTACAAATAAAGGAAGGAAAATTTTTAAAGACTTTGGAATTTCAAACGAGGGAAGGAGGAAAGATGTAAATGATGACAGCGCCTTGGCTGGGTGGCTCAGTTGGTTGGAGCATTGTCCTGTCCACCAAAAGGTCATGGGTTTGATTTCCGATCAGGGCACATATCTATGTTGCTGGTTTGATCCCTGGTCAGGTTGAGTATGGGAGGCAATCAACTGATGTTTCCCTCTCACACTGATGTTTTTCTCTCTCTCCTCACCCCCATTGTTCTCTCTTAAAAAAAAAATCCTTGGGTGAGGAATAATAAAAAAAAAAAAAAAGGACAGCTTAGGAAGTTTCCAAGGCGAGGACGAGAGAAAGTATTTTTCTATACTTCCTTTTTATTTATTTATTTTAAAATGTTTTTATTGATTTTTTAGAGAGAGAGGAAGGGATAGAAACATCAATGTGAGAGAGACACATCGATTGGCTGCCTCCTGCATGCCCTCTTCTGGCGATCAAGCCCGCAACCTCAGCATGTGCCCTGACCGGGAATGAAACCGGGACCTCTCAGTCCATGGGATGACACTCAATCCACTGAGCCACACTCGCCAGGCTATACTTCCTTTTTATTTACTTATTTATTTATTTTTTATCCTCACCCGAGGACATTTTTCCATTTTTTGTTCAGGTAGAGTGGGAGGGAGAGAGAGGAACAGAGAGAGAAACATCGATGTGAAAGGAACACATCGAGTGGCTGCCACCCACACGACCAACCAGGGCCGGGGACAAACTGCAACCGAGGTACGTGCCCTTAGCGGGAACCGAACCTGGGTCTCTCTGTACCGCAGGCTGATGCTCCAACCGCTGAGCCAAACCGGCCAGGGCTATACTTCCTTTTTAATTTACTTGACTGGATTCTTGGAGGTTATATTAATTAAAAAGTCACTCAGATTAAACAACTTCACATTTTAATGGGACTAAGTTAACATCCTCCTAATAATGAGCAGTGATAAATTAATCTGAGAAAAATGGAGTTTTGGTTTGGAAGGAGAAGAGAGGGTAAACTTTGGAATTCACAAAATCCTAGAGGTGAAGGGGAAAGGTGAAAGGTCCCTCAGAAATCCTCTGGCTCAGCAGGCCACCTGTCATCTGGTCTACAACAACCAGATATGGTTTTTGAACCTATATGACTACCATCAGCAAGGAAGGACTTAATGCTACCTGGGGAATTCATACCCTTTGCCAAAAGCTCTGTTATGATAAAGGTCATAAGCAGCAGGGAATGGATACTCACTTGTGTGTGGGGGGTGATGATGAGCAGGGAAGGCTTCATGGGGAGAAGTAATGCTTTGGCAAAGTCTTAATGTGCAGTAGTTAGCCAGGTAAAGAAGGGAAATGCTCTCAATTGAGGGCACCATTCATTCAATGACAGAGCAGCATGAGAAAATGAAGCATGTTAAAAAATTTGTACATACTGGAGCATGGCTAGAGCATACATAGGGTGTATGAGAAGGTGTGAAAACTACTATGGATGGAGGAAGGCAAGGACCAGAGGTAATAAAGGGTATGAACTATAGGCAGGGATGTAACATGCTTAGATATGAGTACAGTTCTCTCTGGCAGTATTGTGAAAGACAGTTTAGGGAGCCCATAGAGTGCAAGACTAGTCAATGCTGAATATTAACTAACACCCAGATGTTTCAGTAAATGCAGATATTAAAAGCAATAATGTCAACAACACTTTTACCTTACAGCAAAAGTAGGAAAATTAATTATATAAACATACTTTTCTTTATAACTAAAATTATGCTATGTATGTTGTCTTCAAACCTATTTTTTTACTTACTAGATTCAGTTCTTTGTCTACCACATGATATTTGAAAACATTTCAGATACAAGTTAGACAACTGATTCAAATGTCTACAGTAAAGAATGTACTTACATCCTTTAGAGTAATAATGTTTGGATGCTGTCCATAACGAAGAAGAATTTCAATTTCTTCTGTTGGGTCTCTCTTGCTTTTATCAATAATCTAAAAGGCAAATATTAATCACAAAATCCCATGAACTGTATAGTTATAAGCCTTAAGTATTTATAGCTACAGACCTTGGGTAGCATCCTACGTAAACACTATATATATAAGGCACTTATTAACCAGTTGTTATTCAAGTACCTGGCCAGACTGTCTAATCAAAATTCAAAAGCCAATCTTGATGTAGATGACAAGGCTATAAAGTAAATTCTATGCCATGAGTCACATTCCCATCAGGTCTCTCCAGTTTAAGTTTGTAGTAAGTTTAGAATTTACTAAAAACTCAAAACCCTCAAGAAAAGGTACCAAGAACAGTTAACATCTTTCTTTCATCCTTAAACATCTTAAACTTTTGGGAACTCAGTCAACTTCTAAACCCTGTCAATATCAATCTGTCAATACAGATAATTAAAATACACACACACGCACACACACACACAAACACAACAAAACACTACTACTAGCATCTGTTTATTGAATTAACTTTACTTCCTTTAAAAATGCTTCAATGGAATATCCCATTAGTTGTAAGCTACTTATAAAATTTAATTAACAGGTCAGTAGAACAAGATTATTTTTGAAGCTAGGCAGAAAGCTAAGCAGAAAACCACATCTAGAATTTTGCTTGGCTAGAATTAAGTTTAATTATTATAATAAAGCCCTTTAAAATACTAATGTAACTTTCCGATCCTTTTATGTCAGCTGCTTCTTAAGAATACTTCTCTTAATGATTTAATGTTAGTTATATCATATTTAAATAAGGTTTGCTTTCATTTCATCCAAAAGGTAGTAGAAAATAAATTTTGTGACCTTCATATTTTCAATTTTAGAACAGCTTAGTAATTAACGTATACAATAAATAACCAAATATTCCAGCAACCTAGCTTGTAATTCTCAGCGTGAGCCAAATCTGCTATCTGAAATGGATTTAGTTGTAAAACAATTCTGTATTTGGAAAACAGAGAAGACAAACGTATAGGTTTCCACTGTAATCGACTGTAAATGATAGTGTGGAACTAGGCAAATGGATGATTAAGAGGAATGGTATATGGAATAGACATGCTAATTCAAGGGATATGATTTGGGGCTAGTCTTTTGAAAACCAGAACATACTGGAAGTGTTATTTTTGGCAACAGTCTCTCTGATCTGCTAATCTGAGCCCAGTTTACGTTAAATTCATACTTGTGCTTGTGAATCTTAGATTTATAGTAATTTCAGTAGAATCAAGTTGTGCTGGAATTGGTTTTATGAATCTAATTTAAGTCACAATAATCCACAAATAGCTGCAAAATATTCTCAAGGTTTTGGTATACTGCTCCTGGTTTCTATAATTCAAAAGGGTCTTGGGACATTTCTGCCTTTTTCTGATATGTTTTTTTAGGGTGGTACTGCCTACCAAGTACATTATTCAACTTCTCTCCTTTCATGTAAGCAATTTGAAAATTTCTATTTACCACAGATTTCATTATGGGCAATGAGTACAAGAGCAAATTATTATTATTACTTTTAATTTTTTTATTAATTTATTTTTGTTACAGATGTTTCTCCTTTTTAGAAGAGCAAATTAGCCTTGGCTAGTTTGGCTCAGCAGTTAGAGCATCGGCTCGTGGACTGGAGTCCCCAGTTTGTTTCCCACTAAGGGCATGTACCTCATTTGCAGTTTGTCCCTGGCCCTGGTCGGGGTCGTGTGGGTGGCAATCACTCGATGTGTCTCTCTCACATCAATGTTTCTCTCTCTCTCTTTCTCCCTCTGTCCCTCCCACTCTATCTGAAGATAAATACAAAAATGTCCTCAGGTGAGGATAAAAAAAATAGAAGAGCAAATTAAAATGTATTTCTGGCTTCTCTTTATAGCTGACAGAAAGCCTTATGGACATTGATGAGTTTTTAAAAAAATGTTTTCCTTTATTGATCTTAGAGAGAGAGAAGAAGGGAGAGGAAAAGAGGGACAGAAATATCGATGAGAGAGAACTTCGATTGGCCACCTCCTGCATGCCCTCCACTGGGGATCGGGCCCACAACCTGGGCATGTGCCCTGACCGGGAATAGAACCGGTGACCTCTTGGTGCATGGGTTGATACTCAACCACTGAGCCACACTGGCAGGGTGACCTTGATGACTTTTTAAAGCAATTAAATCCAAGTTTAGAATAGCAATAACAATTTTTTTTGTGTGTTTGTCTTCCCAGATATTTGCTATATACGTATAAAACACATTTATTTTTACTTTTCCATATGAAATCATACTATATATTTAGATAAACAGATGGACGAATGGAAGTAATCACAATTAATGCCACTCTCCCACTAACTAAATATGAGCTGCCTATTCTTACACACTAGTTCTAAAGTTGCAGGTAAATTGAAAGCTTTAGACATTACCTGAATTGCTTGTAATGGGAGAGCAGAGGCTACCATTCTAAGAAGAGAAAAGCCAGAGGCTTGAATATTAAATTTTTCACTTTCAACTAAAGCTTTGCAATTCAAACTTTATTGTAGAACCATGTGTCTTGGTTTTGGCTTAGAAAAATCTGCCTTAGAACAGCTGATGAAATTAAAGCAGCTAATGATAATGAATTTAATTATGGTGGTTTGTATTCTTTTATTGGTTCACAGATCCTTTTAAATGTGAAGGATGGTATGAACAATTTTGCTAGAAAAAATGCAAACATACAAAATTTGGTATACAATTTTGAGGAATTCCCTGACATCTTGACCATAAAATGGGAGATTTCTGAGAGTAAAAGGGGTGCTGCAAAAAATCAGGTCAGGGGTAAACTGGTACTGCCCTGAGCAAACTGGATGTACGCTACCTTACCTTTTTAGCTCACAGGGGAATTCATGGTTTCCTGATGATCAGTGGTCAGAAATTTAAATTAACTTTACCTTTTTATAACAAAAGGCACATTTACCAAAGAAGAGTGTAATTTTTAACTGGTACTAACATGCATGAATAAAAACTGTTAAAGTTGCATTTTAAATCTAAAAACATTTACCTTCACTGCAAACTCCATGTTTGTGGCTTTATGTATACATCTCTTGCAAACAGAGTAGGAGCCAACTCCAATATCTTCTTTTACTTCATATCCATCAGTAAACTGAATACTGTTCCTGTGCAACTGCTACAAACACAATTATAAATTGACAGAGTTCTGTAATGACTTTTCATAATAGGGGAATATATTATTCAACATGCATTGTTGATGTTACTGATGAATATCAGTAAAAATAAAAATCAATTTTTACACCATTTATTCTTCTACAATTGCATATTTTAAAAGTGTTTACAATAAAATGTACAGCATGAAATATGCCCTTTAAAAAAACTTACGTTAGCTCTGGCCAGTTTGGCTGAGCGGTTAGAGCATCAGCCCACAGACCGGAGAGTCCTGGGTTCGGTTCCTGCTAAGGGCACGTACCTAGGTTGTGGTTCGTCCCAGGCCCCGGTTGGGGTCGTGTGGGTGGCAACTAGCCAATGTGTCTCTTTCATGTTGATCTCTCTCTCTCTCTTCCTCTTTCTCTCCCACCCGCTCTATCTGAAAATAAATGCAAAAATGTCCTCGGGTGAGGATTAAAAAAAAGCTTACGTTAAAAAAGGAAGAAAATTTTACCCTTTGCAACAGCATGGATCGACCTGGAGAATATTATGTTAAGTTAAATTGGCCAGTCAGAGAAAGACCAGTACCATTATGATTTTATACATATGTGGAATTTAATGAACAAACTGAACTACCAAGCCAAATAGAAACAGACTCATAGATAGAGAGCAGGCAGAAAGCTCTGGTGGGTGGGGGGAATGAGCAAAAAAGGAAAAAAAAAAGAGAGAGAACTCATGGGCATGGACAACAGGGTGGTGATTGGTGGGGGGAGAAGTGATGGGTGGAGGTGGAAGAGGGCATAGAGGGGATAAACAGTAATGGAAAAAATAGAATTAAATAAAAGATTTCTGGCCATAAAAATATAAATAAAAGAAAAGCTTACGTTAAAATGAAAAAAAATTAAATATGTATAACAGAAAATGCAGAACTACTTGATAAAGGGCCAACAGCCTCGCCTATGACTGAGCCCCAGTTTACTCCCCAGCAGGGTCTTTGAAGTACCTTTGCAAATAGGGAGAAGTTTGACTTAGCAGGATTCAGAATTAGAACATCTGGATTCTTCTCTCAGATGTATAATTTGCAGGCTGTGTAACCTTGAATTTGTGTTTTCTCTAAGGGTAATGGTGACGATTAAATAACACATTTGAAGGTGATATCTATTACCATCATTTTGGACTATTGGTAGCCAAGTCTTCCTTTCTCCACTGTCAAGTCATAGCTTCAATACAACTTCTGCTAGAGAAGTTATTAATGGGCGAAGGACTAATAACATGGAGGATGATTAATAGCAAATTACTGGTTCCATAAATGTGCTGAGGGATGTTGTGCTGCCCTGAGCTATACTGATAGGATATCCCCACCCCACCCCATGCCTATGAGCTTCATATAGGGTAAAACTTGAATTCTATAGAATATGTTTGCAATTTCTCTGTTAGGTACAGAAGTTATCACTTTAAAACTTGCCATTATCACATGGCTGTCATAGTAAAACAGAATATGTCAACATGAACTTTGTTAAAAAAAAACAACAATGTTCAAATTGGTTTTCTAGAAAGTGGAGAAAGCAAGATGACTGACTTGTTAAAAAAAACTTTAGAGCAAAAGCAAGTTAATTATCAAGTAAATTCACGCACTAATAACACCCTCAAAACAATTCCCTGTGATTAGGAGGATGAATTAAACTTATCTTTCCATGATACTAGAATGAGAAGAAATCAATCTAATGTTTTGTACTACTTGTATCCCTCTAATAACATTTATCAGTCCAGTCTCCTGTTACAAACACATATACATATCTAGAAACCTGCTTCTGTGGTTTTTACTTTTTTCTCCAATTCTGAGAAACAGATGGGATAATGTGGTAGGAGGCACCCTAAAGCAGTACCCATAACCATTTTTTTAAATCCTCATCCGAGGACATTTTTCCATTTTTTGCTCAGATAGAGTGTGAGGGAGAGAGAGGAAGAGAGAGAGAGAGAAACATCGACGTAAAAGGGACACATAGAGTGGCTGCCTCCCACACGGCCCTGACCCAACCAGGGCTGGGGACAAACTGCAACCGAGGTACGTGCCCTTAGCAGGAACCGAACCCGGGTCTCTCTGGACCGCAGGTCAATGCTCTAACGGCTGAGCCAAATCAGCCAGGGTCCCATAACCATTTTTGCCTAATGACAATGGGGACTCCAAAATAACAAGGACACAAAACGTGGCAAATTTAAGATTTTTATTTCTTATGTTTCAGTGATAGAGGTTGGCAAACTATGGCCTGTGGGCCAAATCTGGTTCACTACCAGTTTTTCTAAATAGTTTTATTGGAACATAGCCATGTACATTTATTTTTGTATTGTCAATGGCCCCTTTTGTGCTGCAATGGCAGAGTTGAGTAGTCACAACAGAGATCATATAGCCTGCAAAGCCTCAAATATTTATCATCTGGTCCTTTATGGAAAAAGTCTGCTGATTCCTCTTCTAAGGCATCAGGGAACCAGGAGACCTCAGTTTATGCTGGCTGACCTGACAGAGGCAGAGGTGGAAACAAACCAGGCCTGATGAACATTTGGGGGGCACAGGAGAGGGGAGAGACAAGATAGAAATATTTATCTCAACTCTCTCAGAATTCCACTTTCAAATCAGTAAGTATAGGATTCTGGTGCATGCAACCTTTTCAAAGGCACATGAAAGATTTTTCTAAGAGTAACATCAATGATATAAAATATATTTTAAGCTGCTCACTTAAGTCAGTAGATAAAATCTAATCTAATTACTCATACAATAAACTATATCTTACAACATTTCAAGCTTAAAATTATTTAGACATTCACTCACCTGAACAATCGAATGCACACCAACAGTCTGCATAGCTTGGCTTTCATCATCTGAGGTAATAGCAACAAAACTAAACCCCCGAAAAAGCTGATGTGCATTAGCACTAGGTGGAATGCCAGGCGAATCTGAAAAGAATGATACATTACCAAGAAGGTAATTACTTGAAAGGCAATTCAGGGAAGAATTGTCCATATTACAACCTTTCACACTTTTTCTGGAATTCTATGTCTCAGGCACCTAGTACTTCCAGGGTTAACTCAATAAGGCACTGTATCAGATCTTTCCTGATGGTTTACTGCCATCACAACTCTAATATCCTAGTCCCCCAGAGCCCAGAAAATAATAAATCAATGAATTACTGGGTTAATGCTATTCTAAATTAGCATTATCCCATAGAACTTTCTGCAGTGATGAAAATTTTCTTTATCTGTGCTGTCCAATATGGTAGCCACTATAGCTGCATGCAGCTACTGAGCATTTAAAATGTGTTTAGTGTGACTGACAAACAAAATTTTAAATTTTAATTAACTTAAATGTAAATAACCACACGTGGCTACTGGCTGTCATATTGAATTGTGTAGCCCTAACTGGTAATGCACCAATGCTATGGCTCCTGGTAGGGGGAGATACAAGGTTGAGCTATAGATAATTTAGAAGAAAAAAATTTAGTTCAATGGTCTCAGTACAAATGTCGGAATCTAAATACAAGTTAAAATTATATATATTTAAGAATCAGGGGGGCAGGATTGGGGAGGAGAGGGTCAATGGGGAAAAAGGGGGGGACATCTGTAATACATTCAATAATAGACATGAGTTAAAAAAAAGAATCAAAGTAATTTCTAGGATAATCATGGTATGTAGTCCTTAATATATTTTATGACATGACATGCAATGTTATTCAAATTATTTATTGGAATCTACCGGCATTGACAAAAATAGAAAAAAACCTTTTATAGTATAGTTAATGTTCATTTTAAAGACAAACAATAAATGTGTTATTCATAAATAAAAACACATAATTAGGCATACTATTATTTATAAACATACCCTAAAGGCTAAGCGCAAGCCAAAAACAAATAGGTAAATCTACTTAAACACCAACTCCATATAAAGCTCTTTTGGAACATCAGCTTGATATTCTCAGCAATATATATTGTTTAGGGAATTTTAAATCAACATGACAGTATTATACTGAAGATTTCTACTAAGAGAACCTATCTGGGCAGAATGCAATATAGAACTGCTCTATTCTGAGATTTTTCCTCTACCAGGACAAATTATATTGAGAAGGCAAAGTAAAACACCACCATAGATTATTAATTCTATGCATATCACTGTCCATGTATTTGCTAAAATTTTGTTCATATATTAATCCAAATTTCTAAGACTGTCTTATAAAAATAATAATACACACCCATCAATGCTCAATAAAAATTGTGAAGATTTTGGCTGGAAAGCTCTATAGCAAGGTTTGATTGATGTACTCTATGGAAAATATACGTAAGTACACTTTCTATTTATTTGCTTGTCAATGATAAACCTCAAGTCTGGTACTAAATGAGAGAGTATTAAGGTGCAAAACACACCATTATGTATACACGTATACTAATTAATGAAATACAGATTATCACTTCAAAGATTATTTCTCTATAATAGTCACTGTTTATACAATTTTAGGATAGAGCATGACTCAGGATATAATTCATTTTGAAGTTATCAATCCTCATATAAAGTTTAAGTATATTTGGGATTTGAACTTTATAGAATACCACCTAATATTAGAGTTTTATTTATTTATTTATTTAGAATATGTTTTTATTGATTTTTTTTTTAGAGAGAGAGAGGAAGGGGGAGAGAGAGATGGAAACATCAATGTGAGAGAGAAGCATCGATCGGCTGCCTCCTGCATGCCCCCTTGAAGTGTCGAGCCCAAAACCCAGGCATGTGCCCTGACCAGGAACAGAACAGGGACCTCTCAGTCCATGGGATGCACTCAATCCACTCAGTCACACCAGCTGTGCCTAATATTAGAGTTTTAAAGAACTATTTATACTGAAGAGTATTTCATGTAAAAATAGCTAGAGGTAGCCTGACCTGTGTGGCTCAGTGGTTGAGCATCGACCCATGCACCAAGAGGTCTCCAGTTGGATTCCCAGTCAGGGCACATGCCCAGGCTGTGGGCCAAATCTCCAGCAGTGGGGGGGCATGCAGGAGGCGGCCAGTTATGTTCTCTCTCATTGATGTTTCTCTCTCTCTCTTCCTCTCGCAATAAAATCAATAAAGAGAGAGTATTTTAAAAATAGCTACAGGTAAATAAACACACAGTTTTTTTCACATAAATAGTATCAAAGTTTAGGGCACAATCTAATTTGCTAAAAGATGTACAAGGATCCTAACAGCTACAAGATGCTATAAAGGATTGACTAATTATCTACTTATTGTGGCAGGGATAGGGTATAAAGGGGAGCTATGAGGATAGCATAAAGAATTAAACTAGAAAAGATTTTCTGATTGAACAAGAAAAATATTGACTTATATTTGGGTTTTCATGTTTTCTACTTACCTTTGGGAGTTTTTGCAGTAAACTCAGGATCAAAATAGAATGTATCTTCAGGCCTGCCAGTTGCAGGTTTAAAAGGTGGATGAATTTCTCTTCTGTATAGTTTCTGGAGGAAGAAAGAGAGACTTAGACATGTGTTAATTATAAAAAAAAAAATTCAAGAACGTTTTCATTCTATACTTACATTCCAATCTATTGTTGAGAAAAATAAATGTCTTTTAATTTCTTCAACTCCATCTGGTCCTGCACCTATCAAAAATTAACCAGTTTTGATTAAATGGTAACTTTATTTCAAAGAGGAGTATATATTGTTTATTTAGTCTTCACTTTTAATATTTGTCCTAATAGTTCATAATCCCACAATAAATATTCAAAACAAATATCAACCCCCCCCCAAAAAAAATCCCAACAAACACAAAGAAACAAAATAAAAATTTTACCTAATCTGTTTGCAGGATTTCGTTTGAAAAGCATTCGTAAAAGACTCTGGGCTTCAGGACTCAAAAACTGTGGCATTCCAAGTTTAGCTCTAAATAATCAATCCACATAATAACATTTTAGTTTTTGGAGGTATTTGTATTTTATTTTTAAATTAAACATTTTATTTTAAGATAATCATGCATTTATACTCAGTTGTAAGAAAAAATAGAGATCCTGTGTACCCTTTACCCAGTTTTCCCCGAAGGTGACATGATACAAAACCATAATACACTCTTACAACCAGGATATTGACAATGATACAATCCACTGATCTCATTCAGATGTCTCCAGTTTTACTTGCATATTGTGTGTAGGTATATATGTGTGTGTTTAGTTCTATCACATGTGTAGGTTCCTGTACCCAACGCCACAGTAAAGATACTAAACGGTTCATCACCACCAGGATCCCTCAACGATCTCCCTTTAAAACCACACCCAGCCCTGGCCAGTTTGGCTCAGCAGTTGAAGCACTGGCCTGTGGACCAGCGAGTCCCGGGTTTGGTTCCTGCTAGGGGCATGTATCAAAAAAAAAAACAAAAGCAAAAAACACACCCATATTCGTACCTCCCCAATTCCTAACTACTGGCAACCACTAAGCTATTCTCCATTTCTATTATTTTGTCATTTTAAGAATGTTATGTAAATGGAATCATACAGTAGGTAACCTTTTTTTAACTCAGCATGAATTCCTTTAAGATTTAGCCAAGTTATTGTGTATATTGATAGTTCATTCCTTTTTATTGCTACGTAGTGGTATTCCATGGCATTGACGTACCACATTTTATCCACTTACCTGTAAAAGGATAATTGGATTGTGTCCAATTTTGGGCTACTATAAATAAAGCTGCTAAGAACATTTGTGTATAGGTTTTGGTGTGAACACACAATAATTTTAGTCCATAATGTCCTAATAAACTTTTTCATTTTTCAGAATTTTACAAAAAGCACTACTGTGAGAGTAAGATAATCCAGTCTTAGTTCTGGCTCTTTTGCTAAGAACTTTGTGACTTTGGGAAAGCCAGTCCCCTTGGGCTTGTTACCACTCTTCATAAGCAAGGAAATGGGACATTAGATCAATGGTTCTCAAACTGTAGCTTTGGAACCCCTTTTTAAAAGGAATTTAAGAAATCTAACATTTAAAACTGCTAAAAGAACATGTGGTTCATATGTTTCGTTTTTTCTCCCATTCCCTTTAATAGCCTTGCAGGGAAGAGGAGCTGGTGGGAAAGGGATTAGTGTAATATCTACGAGTTTGTGGCACACAGTCTGAAAACCATTGGCCTGGATAAGTTTGAAGGTCTGTTTCAACTCTAATATATAATTTTATTCTTTTCTCCAAGCTACAAATTATGGAAACCAATGATCCTATAAGCATGAAAATAATAACAGAGCTGGGGAAAATGCCTAGCAGAGAAATTTCTATTTCAGGAATAGATCCATTTATTATTCAGTATGTTGTTATTGAGCTACTATGTGTTACACACTGCTTAGTGCTGAGGATACAGAGATAAAGACAGCCCCCGATGGTCAGTGGGGAAGATGGATACAGATAATCCTGGTACATTAAGAGACAAATTCAGAAGGACATATGGAAAGAATGCTAAGGGAACAGTAGGGGATATCTAATTTAGCACAGGAGATTGTGAAAGGCTTTCATTGCAATTTAATGGTTGAGAATTTATTCATTTGATCAGTGTTTCCCCAACATTTTACTGAATAACATTACTCTCTCTAGATAGTTAACAACAACAAATTTTCATGATCCAATAAGTTTGTGGAATGCTATCTATTATTCCCCCCTGCTGAAGACACAGAATTAAACACATGGCATATAAAAGGCTGAGACATCTAGAGTTAAAAAAAAATCAGTATTTTTCTAAACATTTGTTTCCAACACCTCTTTCTCAGAGAATACTATTAACATCTTGTAGAATATTAGGTTCTGTTGAACAAATCTGGGGAAACACTTCCATATAGGGTAACCGGGATACAGCAGAGGTCTTTAAACAGTAGACTAACACAACAAGATTTATTTTTAAGAAGGTAACTCCAAGAGTAGTATAAAACGATCTGGGATGGGAAGCATTGGTAGATAATAGGCATTCTACTTAGGAGCTTGGCCCAATAGTGTGGGTAGGAGATCACCAGAGTCTGATGACCTGTAAGCAGTTCAATGCAGAGAAAAGGCTGGGAAACTAAAATATTTCTGAGAACGAATTTGGTGAATACTTGCATATGCAAGAGAGAGGAATAAAAAGTAATTTCCAGGTTTCTGGCTGCATGGAAATGCTACTAATTGGGAACAGAAGAGGAAAAGTACAGCAAATAGAGATAAAAATGTCAAGTCGTGCATGTCATATGTTTTGAGAGAACTAGCCAGGTGAGTAAATGAAACATAGGTTTGGTGTCTGGTAAGTTAAGGTAAGAAAGAGTAATTTGGGAGTAATTAAAATGGTTAGAGTAGTTATAGGAAAGACTGAGGTTAGCCAGGAAAGTTAGTACAGAGGGGTAAAAAAGTGTATCAGAGATGGAACCCTGGGTAATAAGATTTAAAACGTGATCAGAATATGCCTGGCCAGTGTGGCTCAGGGGACTGAGTGTCCCAGTTCAATTCCGGATCAGGGCACATGCCCAGGTTGTGGGCTCAATCCCCAGTGGGGGGAGGGGGCGTACAGGAGGCAGCCAATCGATGTTTGCGTCTCACATGGATGTTTCTATTTCTCTCTCCAAAAAAATCAATAAAAACATTAAAAAAATAAAAGGTGATCAGAATAAGGACAATTTAGGCATTTAAAATAACAAATGCAACTGGCCGAATCACACTGATTATTAAATCCCACAAGTTTGCCCTGGCCAGTTTGGCTCAGCCATTAGAGTGTCGGCCCGTGGACCAGAGAGACCCGGGTTCAGTTTCCACTAAGGGCAAATACCTCGGTTGCAGTTTGCCCCTGGCCCTGGTTGGGGTCGTGTGGCAACCAGTCAATGTATCTCTCTCACATTGATGTTTCTCTCTCTCTCTCTCTCTCCCTCTCTCTCTCCCTCCTGCTCTATTTGAAGATAAAAGCAAAAATGTCCTCAGGTGAGGATAAAAAATCAATCAATCAATTAACCCCACAAGTTCATTATAGTAAAAAAAAAAAAAAAATCAAAGCTAACTTAAAAACCCAATTCACTGGACACTACCACCACTCTAAGTAACTAGGGCTCTGACAACTGGAAATAACTAAGAAAAGAATCAAACATTTATTCTTCCTTTCTTGTTTGTGCCTTATTTAAAGGTAGCTAAGCCCTGGCCAGTTTGGATCAGCAGTTAGAGTGTCGGCCTGTGGTCCAGAGAGACCGGGGTTCGGTTCCCACTAAGGGCACGTATCTCGGTTGTAGTTTGTCCCCGGCCCTGGTTGGGTCGTGCAGGGGCAGCCACTCGATGTGTCCCTTTCACATCGATGTTTCTCTCTCTTCCTCCCGCTCTGTCTGAACAAAAAATGGAAAAATGCCCTTGGATGAGGATAAAAAATAAAAAAATAAAGGTAGCTAAATAGCCCTAGTCGATGAGAGAAAGTTCATTATTTTGAAAAATAACCAGGTAATAAATAAAGGAATAATAATAATAGAAAACCACCATTTTTGAATCCCTAGTATAATAATTATTTCAAGCAATGATTATCAATAGGTGAAACCAACAGATGAAAGCCTCACAGGGAACTTTAAAATGGAGGAATCAGTTGTAACCACGGGAATTTATCACTTAAAGTGGAACAACCAGGTGTTGTAAGCCTTTTGATGTGATGCAATCTTGCCAAAGAAGTTTAACCAAAAACAAGATAAAGGAACAAGTTAAATGATATCACAAAGAGAGAAAAAAAATTTCCACTCCTTGAAAAAGACTAATTGTTATGTAACCATAATAACAACAGAGCTACCAGAACTGGTTTCACATCCATTCGATTGATCAAAGACAACCTGCCTAGGTGTACATAGTTGTCCTTTTTACAAACCAACCAACCAGTAACTACATACTCTCTGTGAAAATTAGCCAAACAAGAATGGGCTACCTCCACTAACCACACCTGAATGACAACTGATCAACAACAGTCCCACCCAAGTAACCACACTCTTACAGATGATGTCAACCCACTTATGATCCTGAAAAGCTGCCACTTCTTGAACTCCACCCTTCCCTAAAACTCTATATAAGAACAGAGGTCTACTCTGCTTGGAGAGACTACTAGACCAGCAATACTGTCCCTTACTACAATAAGCAGTAGACTCAGCTTTATGCTTTTTTTCAGATACTGGGAGGTGGTCTCCTCTTTTCACAAGAGAAATTCAGGAAGTAATTCTAAACTGACTGACTTGGTTTCTATAAGTAAATGGCAGGGGAAAAACAGGCGTAGACTGTTCTAGATGAACAAGAAATTTACGAAATACAATGAAATGAGACAAGCCGACTTAATTTGGGACTATAAAAGCACTGTTTTGGAGAATATTTGAAAAATTGGGTTAAAGACTGGTATTGGATGATACTTAAGCATCATTACTACTTTTGTTAGATGTGATTATGTAAGAAAATATCCATACTTTTTAGTGATGCAAACTGAAGCAGGTGAGAAATGAAAGGTTTGGAATGCTTAATATATTTCAGTAAATTAGAAAAAAAGGAATAAATGAAGCAAATGTGGCAAAATCTTGATGACTGTTGAATATGGGTGACTGGTATATGTGTGTTCGCTGTATTATTCTATTTTTGCAAATATATGTTTAAAAATTTTCATAAAAAGAGAAAAGCAGGCAGAGAAGGAATAGTCAGACAAGAGACCAAAAGAGGAATGGTTAGAGATAGGAGAAGCCCATGGGAGCAGGAAAAACTAAGGGGGAAGGGATTCGCCAATAGTGTCAAATGCTTCTCAAAGAGACCTTCCTTAACTGTCCCATCTAAAATGGCCCCTGGCCCTGGCCAGTTTGGCTCAGTGGTTGGAGCCTCAACCTGCAGACCACAGAGTCCCGGATTCGGTTCCCGCTATGCCCTAGCGGCTAGGGACAGGTACCCCC